GGAGGCCACGTGGCGCCAGGCGCCACGCCGCGCGGCTTCCCCCCGCCACCCGCCACACACAGCTCTCTGCCCCGCCGTCTTCGCTCCGCCTCCGGCTCGGCGCGGCCTGGCTCGGCGAGCGGCTGGCTTCCTTCGGGCCGCGTCCTCTCCGACGGCGGAGGAAGAGAGAAGGCGACGGAGCAGAAGTGTGTGTGTGGCGGGGGCAGAGGAGGAGCCGCGCGGCGTGGCGCCACGTGACCTCCCTCCCGGGCGTTCGGCCTCCCGCCCGCCATGCCGGGTGCGGGCGGACGAAGCCAGCGCCTGGCGCCATCTTTGAGGGCCTCCCTTCTCCCGCCCGGCCTTCCCGGGAGCCGGGAATGGCCGCCCAGTTGTGTCAGGGCGCGTGACGTCGCCGTGGCCGCCATCTTGGGTGAGGGCGCAGCGGCCCTTCCGCCCGAGTCGATACCTTTTAAAACAATTCCCATTATTTTATGGTTTGACTTGGTTTTAATGTGGGTTTTAGTTTATTGGAAGTAGCCGGACGCTGTGCTTCATTTCATTTTATCCTGTTTTTATTGTAAGATCGTCCCGAGACCTTAGTAGCTGGACGTTATTTAACAGCGTTATATAAATGAATATCTGCCTTTTTTCTGGGCACCTGTGCCTGAAGTAGCTGCCGGGGTGGAGGGGAGCACTTGTCCGATTACAGTAGCTAATTATTTATGTGTTGAGGATCCACCATATAAATGATGACCTTTCGTACGTAAAATATACTGTAGCCGTACGGTAATGAGGAAGCTTACTGGAGAGAACGGTCTCTGTGCCCAAAGTAACTATGGCTGCCTTGGCCTCGCTGTGCCCCAAAGATGGCTTCCTTTGCTTGAGGGCCCCTCTTGGGCGTTCAAAATATGGGTCGCCGGCGGAGTGCCTGATCTGCTGCTCATTTGTTTATGGTCTTGAAAAAGCGCTCCGCCCCTTGTCTCTCACAGGGCGTGGCCCGCGGGACGGGAGGGAGCCGGCGGCGGAGCGAGGGGCGGAGCGACGGGGGTCCTCGCGCCGCTCGGGCCGGGCACGGGCACGGGCAGCCCGCGCGGGGCGGAAGAGGTGGGGCCCCGATTGCTTGAGTGGCGTTTCCGGCCAGCGTCCCGCAGAGACGGCCCTGCGGCGGCGGCGCGGAGGGCATGCGGAGCGTGGGCGGCCTGCGGGGCCCTCTTGGAGCATGTGCAGAGCGCCTCGGCTCTGAGCAGCAGGAGGGGGTCCCTTGCCGGCGTGCTGCGTTTTCTTCAGCGCCGCTGAAAAAGAGTTCCTCTGAGTAAGTGCGGAGTGCGCCGTTTGAGAGTGCTGTTGGGCATGTGCAGAGTGCTTCTGCGAGAGCAGGGATGCCGGCGTTGGAGGGCTGCATGGGGCTTTGCCAAGTCGCCTTCCGCCGGGAGCTCGGCCACACGGAACGAGCGAGGGGCGTTTTCTGCGGGGGGCCTGGGCGTTTGCAGGGCGCCTTTCGCTGGAGGGCGAGCCCTTCGCCGGGGTGCTTTTGCGGGGACATTCCCGAGTTCCTCTGGTTTTGTGGCTTGTACAACATTCTCCGGAAATGTACGGAATGTTTTTACTCGGAGCCTAAGAAACTGAATTGGGGGTGGGCGTGCTGGGCTTTGGAACAGGGGCAGCAGCAGACGCGGCTGCTGCATTTATTAAAACTCTGCTGGCGGTTTGCCTTTATGGCATCCTTTGTAGCAGGTGCAGAGTCTGGCTGAATTACCTTGTGGCTTTCTAACGGGTGTGTGTGTGTGTGCGCGCGCACGTGCTTAATGAGTCTCCATAAGTTCTTTATTGCTGGTTTTTTAGAAGTTTGAGGGCTGCAGAGTTTTTGTACTTCGGGGGACATGTGGCAGGGGTTTGGAGCACCCTCCCCACCCAATTCTGAGGATCTTGCTGCAAAGAATACTTCCCCGTGTCCATAGCGGAGTATTTATTTTATTATGTATTTATTAAAACATTTCTATGCCGCCCCATTCGCCGAAGCCTCGGGGCGGCTCACAACAACTTTGTAGCCCTCTATTTTTTCAGAATCTGTTTTTTCTTTTATAAGGTGGAGTTTCTGCAAAGCGCCCTTTACAGCAGATTAACAGCTTTGGGGGGTGGGTTAAAAATAGATTCAGCTAGTCAAACCTTTTGGGAGAAAGTTCCACTAACAGTTCTGCCACTTCTTAAAAGTGTTGTGTTACTGTAAGCCCCCCCCCCCCGCCGGTGACAGGGTTTCTGAAAATAAATATAAGCAAACGCACAGGCTTTTATGGGCTATTGTTAATGTGCAGACTGGGTTGAAAAAGTATTATATGTTTATTTGAGGATTGGCTGTTGGCTTGTTTGCAAAGGCTTTGTTATGTTTTCATGAAAATAATCCTCTTTGGATACAACACTGCAGCATGAAAACGGTAGCGGGTGATCCCTCTGCCTGTGGTGGTTGGCTTATTTGGACCCCAGAGTTTGTGTTACTGGCAACAATTACATTGTAAAGACTCAGGGTTCGATTGTGTGGCTGGCCTTGTCAAGATGGTTTCTGCATTTTGACCTGAGCCTTAAGGTTTTCCTGCTGTGGAAGAAGTTGAAACATTCCCATAGTTCTCCATGTGTCAAATAAAGTGATCCATACGTGTCTTTCCAAAGGTTCTAGTGCAGCCACTCCTAAGCAGCTGCAGATGTGTCGGACTCCAACTCCCAGCATGCTCCAGCCAGCATATTTAACGAGTCGTCAGGGCAGTGAATAAACTGCATTTCTGGTGCTCATAACCTCAGACTGGGAGCAGCAAATCTGAAGCCCACATTCTGGGTTGTGGAGGGACAAAGAACAGAGTTTTAAACACACAACAGAACATGGGATTCTGTTGGGCCATACTCTGGTTTCTGCAATCCTAATAACTCGCAGTGTCTGTTTCAGAAGTTGGATAAAGCCACCCAGAGCTGCATCCCTGATTAAATGGATTTCAGGTGGCGATGACAGGCGCCCAGGAGTCCGTGACCTCAGGCCCTGGCTTGGGCCCACAGCGGCCCACTGCTTGCCTTTATGTGCTCATGGAACGCTCGGGACAAACCCTGGAGCTGCCCCCTTCAAAGGGGACGGGACCCTGCTGAGCTTGGCAGCCGAACTCCTCGAAGTGGAGAGCCCAGACTTGCTGGTCATGCGTATCAGGTTCCGCTTCTTAGTACTTGCTCCTTCTTACGGAATAGTCATTTCTCTTTTGCAGTTGGCAGAACTGAAGGGATGGAACCCCAGCAGAAGGGTACCCCGAAAGAATTGGTGTATTATATCTTTTGCCGCTCCAAGAATCATGCATGATACGCTTCTCCTCTGCTTACCCAGAACTTGAAGTGGTCATATGTGTGTGTTTATTTTATTTATTATTTATTTGTGTATTTGTAGGCTGCCTGTAACTGCCGAGACCTTCCTGGGTTCAGTAGTGCATTCATGAATAGCCTCTGTGCTTTGTGGTTAACGATGAGATGAAATGGAGCGTTTTCAACTGACAGAGTGTTGCAGAACTCACTTTCCAAGCTTATAAAAACCTTCTGAAAACATGGGCCCTCCTGTTGCTCTCCCCCCAGGTTATCCAGTTGCCGTACCATGTTTTAAACGGCCGACGTTTTGCCGAAAGGAGCCATGGTGTCGAAACGGGCCTTCATCTGCAGCCTGGGCTCCATCTACTTGTCCCTTCTCTTCGTGTTCCTGCTGATGGACGTCTATGCTCGGCCGGCCAACAACTCTGCCCTAAAAGAGAAGGCGGCCGACAACAAAGATGAGAATGAAATTCTGCCTCCAGACCACTTGAATGGAGTCAAGATGGAGATGGACGGGCACCTGAACAAGGAGTTCCACCAGGAGGTCTTTCTTGGGAAGGAGATGGAGGAGTTTGATGAGGACTCAGAGCCGCAGAAAAACAGGAGGAAGCTCATGGTGATATTCTCAAAGTGCGTGATGCCCTTTGCCCGTTCGTTTACGCTCCAGGGCGGCCGAGAGGGCGCTGGGGTGGGTTGGAGCAGAGCGCCGAGAGAGCGTGTGCTGTCTCACATTGGTCCTGATGGTTGAGGCTGCCCGGCTTGGTACTGTAATAACACACAGTCGGCAAGGGGTGGCAGGTAGATTGCGTTGGACTCGGAATCCTTTTTGGCATGGCCAACGGTTGGGGGATTGACCACTGCCAGCCCTTGGTTTCCACTGGCTGGCGGTGATTTTCCAGTTTCTACATCATGATTCTTTCCCAGACCTGCTGGGAGATTCCAGTCCTTGAACCTGCAACCTTCTGTATCCTAAAGATGTGCTGCAGTCACCTCCCAGGAAGGGTTAACTTTTTACCCCCCTATCCAGGCAGTCTCCAGAATTCCTCTTTTCCACTGTGGGGATAATAGCATCTGTTAGGGGTGTATCTTGTGTCTCAGAAAATTGTGTGCGTCGGTTAACTATTCTAGTCTAGCTGGAATACAGACACAGAGGGAGGACTGTTAATAAAATTAAAACAGGGCGCGCCAGTCTTTGTACCAGCCTGTACATAAAAGTGGGTAAACAGCCCCGATTGTGGTGGAGAGGTGACTGAGGAGCGTGGCCTATCCTCCTTGCAGCTGCATCTTGCCTGGGAATCAGCAGCCCCACGTTTCTGATGCTGCCAGATCGGTAACCACCCCTCAGAAGCTTTGTCGGCAAATTAAAAGGTTTATTATTAAGTGCATAGCAGATAAGCGGCTGGCACTAATGAAATCGGAAAGCTGATCAGTGAGCTCGAAGGCCGATTAGTGGCTTGCGTCATCTGCGGGGCCCAGGCCCTCTCGCCGTGCGGAGCAGGGCTGCCGCTCCCGTCCTGACCTCGCAGACGATCGTGGCAGAGGGCAAGCCCTGATGTCTGATCTCTGCCACTAAAGGCAGAGATCAAGCATGTGATCAGGAACGGCTCTGGAGATGGCAGAAGCCTTTCAAAAGGGATGCACTGCAATGCTCGAGCAGAGGAGCAGCGGGGCTTCCCTTCCCTTCCCTTCGCGAGTGAGCGAGGAGTGGAGCAGGTCCGCCTTCGTGGGGAAGCGTGTTCCTCAAACATCATTCCTGATTTTCCAAGCAGTGTCTTCTGCCAAAGAAATGGAACATTTTGCTTTCTCTCCTTCGTCTGCCAGTATAACCCTTCGCCCTCACCAGAGGAAAAAGGTCAGGATATAAATGCAGTGCAGTAATAGTCATAATAGTCTAGCAGGCATGAAAGGAAAGGAAGATGGGAGGGTAGAGGAGAAAAAGGCGATTTAGATTCTTGCAAAGTTCGGCAGGTCATGGCGTGGGCATTTATTAATGGCCTATCTCGCCTTAAAGCACGAGTCCTGCCATGAAGCTGGGTTATTCCTCAGTGCTCTCCTGCATTTGCTAGCTAAGACTGGTTTGAGTCGCACTTTCCAAAGCGACCACGTGGCTGACCCCGGTTTTCCCCTCTGTTCCCTGTGGACCCACGTGGACGGAGGCCAGGCCACTCGGAGCGCTGCGAGCTGAGCACTTTCTCGTGCTGGTCCCCACAGGGTCGACATCAACAGGGACAAAAAGATCAGTGCGAAGGAGATGCAGCGCTGGATCATGGAGAAGACGGAGGAGCACTTCCAGGAGGCGGTGGAGGAGAACAAGATGCACTTCCGGGCCGTGGACCCCGATGGGGACGGTAGGCTTGGCAGCCTCGGCCACCAGAGCGCACGCTGAGCAGGTTGTGGGCCGCCCCACGGCTGCGGGAGCAGGGGGGAGGCAGGCTGGCGACCTGGGCGCCCTCGCTTCGTCGCCTTCCTTGGAAGAGCTGGAAGGGCGTCGGGGGGATTTGGGAGACGATCAGCAGGGATCCAGGAAGGCTGGCTTGGCTTGTTGCTGGTTAGCCCCTCCCCAGTCCTCTGGGTGAGGAAACTCATCCGGCTGAGGTGTGGGGCTGAGAGGGCCTGGGTCCCCCAGATGGCTGGGCTGCAGCTGCCGGATCCCCCGGGCTGCATGGCGTCAGGCCCACATGTCTGAAAAGGGCAGGCTGGGGAAGACGGTCGAGAGGAAGAAACCGGGAGCTCTTGGCTGTTGCTGTGGGTGGCGAGAGAGGCCCCCGCCCATCCTCTCTGTGCTGTGCTCCAGCATGCTGTTCACGCACGTCCCAGCCAGCTCCCCGCAGGACACCCGCCAGTCTTTCATAGCAATCCTGCTCTTGCGCAGCTTTGCCTCCGACCTGGGCCATCCTGCCTCCCCAAAGGCTTAGTTCCCGGCAGAAAGGGAAAGCGGCAAATCCCATCAAGAGGATCAGGCAGCAGCTGATGAGAGAGGTCTCCGCTGGAGCCCCCGGAGAGCCACTGCCGACCAGCCTGGTTTCACCAACGGCCCGACCTGGTCTATGGCAGCGCTCTGTTTTTCCTGCAAGTGCATGGAGAAAAACGGCCACAGAATGCGGCCCCTGGCTGTTTTCTGGGACTGGGCAGCGGGCATTCTGGTGTTCCCTGGGAGACCTTCTGTAGCATCACGGTAAAGGGATAGTTCGATTCAAAACCCAACTGCGGCGTGTGCTCCCTGCCTTGGCGGAAGCATCAGTCTTTTTGGGAGGCCTTGATCCCTCCCAGGTGTGCACCTGACCTGCATGAGCTGCGGACGTCTTCACCTCCCGAGCCCCTTCCTTTCTTTCCAGGTCACGTGTCCTGGGATGAGTATAAGATCAAGTTCTTGGCAAGTAAAGGGCTGAATGAAAAGGAAGTTGCCGAAAAAATCAAGAATAACGAGGAGTTAAAGATTGATGAGGAAAGTAAGTGGCTGCGGGAGGCTCTTCTCTCGCTCTCTCTCTGACTTCTGCTGGTTAATTAGCTAGGTTTCCACCTGGATGTAATGGACGTCACACTTCATTCTGTCCTGCTCATCCTCCAGAGCCGCACCCCTTCAGAGCTCTGAAAGTGAAGGCCGCGCTTGGGCCGCAAGAGGTTCCGCCCCACACTCTTGCCATGACACCTTGCACCATGGTTTGGGCTCCAGACTGGGGTCTGTGCAAACCACGGTCCACTGTCACCACCTAAGGGAGCAGTGAGCATCTGGCAAAAATTCATTTATTTCTTTAAAACTTTTGTATGCTGTCCCTTATGCATGGCCTCTCAGAACGGCTTACAATCCTTAAAATCAAAATACAGTAGAACAACCATATCTATAAATAAATAACATAATCCCGGTAAAAATGTTAAAGCGTTAATATACTGATTTTTAAAATAAGTGAATAAAAAGGTTTTGACTTGGCGCCGAAAAGAATATAAACTCAGAGTCAGAAGGGGTCTCTGGGTCATCTAGTCTGACCCTTGGCTCCAGCCGGCTCTGCTCATGACATGCCTACCATGTGCCTGCCATTTCAGTATAAGCTATCCTGTATCTCTTGCAGTTGCCTTCCCTTCCCTTCCGAAGCTCTTGTTGTTGTTGTATTTCTAGAACACCCATAGCTGAAGCATTCTGGGTGGTTCACGTTTTAAGTCGCCCTTCCAGCTTTCAACCAGCCTGGACCCTGCTTAGCTTCCAAGATGAGGCAGGATCAGGCACTTCAGGCTCTGCTCGATTTGGAAAACGTCCGCCATTTTTGCTGTTCAACTTGGTAGTTGCAGGGAAAAAATCCAGGACTCCGTTGCACCTCTGCTTGCAGACGTTTTCAGCTACCCTTTGGGCCTGAGGGTTCGCGCAGTGTCGACTGCACGCTTGTGCATCTCTTTACAACCCAAAGGGCTAGAAACTTGATTTTTTTTTTTTAAAAAAAACCCCTACTCAAGGCACTCTGGAATCTGAATTCTGCACTCTGTATCTCCAATTCTTGTTTTTGCTTTTGTTCCACACTGGAAGGGTCACAGAACACCCACCGAGAACGACCTTTGCTTGCAGTGAGGCAAAGCTGCGCCACCAAGTGCGTCCCTGCCGAATAGAAGTAGGGCACTTGGAAGAAACGGTCGCACTTTGACGATGAATATGGCAATTCACTCTGCATGCCAGAGCGCAGATCAAAACAAACTCGTACAGGGGAAAGCTTCGGCAGAGCTGGGACAGGCTCCAGAGTTTCCGCACGCACCAGCTTGCTCGTCTGTTGTTCCATCCAATCTGAAATGAGTCAGTCAATATTTATTTCGTAAAGACTTGAGTCTCATCCATATGCATTTTGTGTGCACTGCCGGAATCGCTCTGTCTAGCAGAACGTGCCATACGGGGCAGGGAAGCCCATCTGGCACTCTGCTGTTGCTCCAGCTTCCCCTTCCATATTGTGCTCCCTGTTGCTCAGTCGTAGGCACCTCTCAGAAGCAAGATGCTGCTGGAGATCCTTCCTTCCCCTTCCGTCTGTCCGTCCTTCCGTTACTGCTTTTGTATGCCGTCCTATTATACAAAAATCTCAGGACAGCGTACAATATTTAAAAGAACAATCAAAACAGCAATTTCTAATAAATAATTGAAACAGAACAAAACAATAAAAACAAACAGAGCAACTGAAGGTTAAAAGTTGTTAAATTTTAAAATACAGCTTAAATAAAAAGGTTTTGGCCTGGCGCCAAAAAGAGTATAAACTTGGTGCCTGGCATGCCTCTCTGGCCTTTCTCTGCCTCCACCGCCATTCCACAAACCAAACCTGCTTCCACATTTTAATCTTGCCTCTTTGGCAAGCTCGTAAAACACTGAGATAATTTGGACTTTGCAGGAAACTAGTTCCCCAGCATGTACAGAATGCTGGATGACTCGCTGGGATTTGTCTACTATCAGGTAGATGCCAGATTGGAGATAATTTTCAAAGTTGGATGCAAGCGAACCGGGGTTGTTTGTGCAAATGCAGGAAGAGTGCTTTACAAAATTCAGAATGCAAAAAGTCCTTCATCCTCTCCTCTAACGTTAACAGTACAGCACCCTCCTCCTTCCCTTGAAACTGATCTTTCTATCCCCTCCCTGATTTGTAGCGCAGGAAGTCCTGGATAACTTGAAAGACCGCTGGTATCAGGCCGACAATCCGCCTGCCGACCTCTTGCTGAACGAGGAAGAATTCCTATCGTTCCTTCATCCCGAGCACAGCAGAGGAATGCTGAAGTTTATGGTGAAGGAAATCGTCCGAGATCTGGGTGGGCCTCTTAGTTTGTACATTGCACAGTAGCATTAACTCTTAAATGTTGTTGGGTTCTAGCAGAATGCGTTTATTTTCTTATCTTGATGATTTAATTTGATTAGTACCGTGTTTTTCTTATTTTTTTAACTCACTGTATTTTTGTGTGGCATTTATTGGCTGGTCAACGACCCAGCAAAGAATTACCTGTTACCCTTGCAGGGCTCTGCACGGCCAGGAGGTGGTGCTGTTGTGCCTTGCCTGGCCGTTCTGCTTCCTTCTGCCCCTGGGTGTCCTCCTCTCACCTCCGCCTGCCTCAGCCCTTGCCAGAATGCCGGTCACAAAACCCTGAACGACCCGTGCAGGCTTAAAGGGACTCTTGCAAAAGGCGGCTCCCTCCGCCCTTCTTTCTTAGCTTGCAATTTAGCTTAATTGCCCCTTTTCTCCTAGTAGCTCCTTATCCCTCTTCTTCCCCCGCTCCCCGAAACCCCTGAGATTTAACTGGATAATGACCCTCTCACGAGGGGACTCGAACTGGCGCTTCCCCCCTCTGTCTCCCACTGGGTGCCCACTGGTGCGCACTTCTCCCACTGGGATAAATGTTTCAGATTATCACCAATATTTACGATGTATTTTCTGTCTCACCTTTCCCCCCCTTGCAAAGCACCTGGGGTACCGTGACAAGGTCGCCTGCTCTCCGTTGAGCTTCCCAGCCATCCCATGTGGTGGCTGAGGCTGAGCCTGAAGCCGCCTGGGGCTTCCTGGCTGGCTGGGGACCTAGAAGCCCACTCCCTGAGCCCCAGCCCAGCCTCCGGCCGCCACAGCGCCGGATCATTGGCTCTCGCCCCCTCCCCTTGTGGGGTAAGAGGAGCGAAGCCAAGGATATGTCAAGGGGGTCTAAGAGTGAGGCACCCCCTGCCTGCACTACTGACTCTTCACTTCCTTGGAGATTCAGTGGGGTTTGCCCCCTTTCCTTTTGGACCTGGTTACCCCTGGAATAGTGGCTGTGCTGTCGGGCTTCTTGCCCCTTGTGGCTGCCCCCCCCCCCGGGCGTTGCTCCGCCACGATGCAGAGTTGCTCAGAGGCCCTTGGGGGAATGCTGGTGGCGGCAGCCAGGCCGGGGGGCTGCCCGTTATTGGCTCTTGTATCCCTGAAAGGTGAAGGGGCAGCGATGGAGCTTCTGTTTGCCTCTGAGCCCCCCTCCCCACAATTAAACCTGAACCGCCAAATTGTTTTCAGCTCTTCCCGGCTGTGCCGTCACCGCCGTCACCTTCCCAGCTGCATTGTGGAAACCGAACTCTGAAAACAGGATGTCCCTTGGCGACGGTGTCTGATCGAGCTGGAGCCGAGCAGAGGGGAAAGCAAAGATGACTCATGTTTAGCGTGGGGCCTTTTCCTCTTTCTCTTCTCTGATACGCAACGTTTCCACTCCGCAGATCAGGATGGCGATAAGAAGTTGACTCTTTCTGAGTTCATCTCGCTGCCCGTGGGCACCGTTGAGAACCAGCAGGCCCAGGATATCGACGATGACTGGGTGAAAGATCGAAAGAAGGAGTTTGAAGAAGTAATTGATGGGGATCACGACGGCATCGTCACCATGGAGGAGTTGGAGGTTGGTTGGGCCTGTTTCCGCCTCGCTCTGCAGCCAGCGGGCTCCGAGCCACTCGGCGCCGTTAAAACCGTAACACTCAGTGTGCTGAAACAGAACCAAAACTTCTCGGCAGTGGCACCATTTAAAATCAGGAACAGAATTAAAAGCAAAGCTTTGGGACTCAGTAGCCTGGGGAAACGGGCCCTTCCCTGGGGCTGGTAAGAGCTGACTTCCCCCCAGGCACGCTTGGTCACGTGGCACAGGGTTTGTGGAATGAGCTGCAACAGAAGAGACCTGGCGAGCAGTCCACCCACTGAAGGAGGACAGCTGAGGTTGGTTGTAGGTCTAGGCAGGTAGATGGGGGATGAACCTTCAGCTGAGCTGGCCGCAAGGACTTCAGATATTAGCGTGAGCTGCTGGAATTGGGCCTGGCCAAGACCGGGCAGCCAGCAATAAGAAGCTTCCTTCCAGAGTGCCCGGAGGTGCCTGGCATCCACCCATCCAAGACCTAGCCCAGGGAGAGCCGTTAGGGTCTGGGGTCTTCAGGAGAGGCCCCCTTTAAGCAGCCGGCCCTGTTCCCCCTCTTGAGGAAGGTCCAGCCTCCACACCCGGCCTGATGCCCCTTCCCATGTCAGAGGGGACAAGCCCTGGGGTTGGTCCAGCTTGGCCAACACCTGCGCGGCCTTGAGGCTCATCGCCGAAGCGCAGCCCACGGAAGTGAGCTGGGCGGGTCTCTGGGCGCCTCTGCCGGGGGGCCGCACTGAGTGGGGTGCCCCATCTGTGACAGTTTGGAGCGACTTATTGGAGCATGTGTCCCGCAGCCCCTCTCTCTGGCTCCGATTGTAGTGGGCCGTGGAAACCCAGAAAAGCTGCTCTGGCTTTGGGCTTGGGAGGACCAGCTGGGAACTTCATGAGCGCGCACTCCCCCAGCATACTACTCAAACGAGAACCTGATTTATGCGCACCGTGTATCTTGATTAAAATCCCCTGCAAAGCACATCATTTTCCACTGTTTTGCCCAGGCCTGCGCGCTCTCAATCTCTCTGCGCCCCCCAAGGGCCGAGGCAAGCGGAGTCGCCCCTCTCGGAACAAGCCGGCCATTTGCCCCACAGTGCAGGTTCTTGTCTGGAAAGAAGCCCAGGGAGAAATGGACTCCGTTTTCTGATTTCCTGCTCCTGGCTGAGGGTTTTATCAAGCCAGGTGATCAGTCTTCCTGTGAGCATCTCTGCTTCCTGAGGAGCTGTGCAGCGTAAACATCTTGATTAGGCGTGTGTTCTGCCTTCAACTTGAGTCCTTTCTTCTGTCGAACCCAAAGCAGCAAAACAAAACGACATCGTGACATGCAGTTAGATATTTCAGCTATGCTTTGAAAGAATTTGGGGCTTGTATTTTTTTTAAAAGCTGAAGTGTGTGAGATGATCTCTCTCTCCGTCCGTCCGTCCGTCCGTCCCCTTCCACCCAATGGGGGGGCGGTTCTTGGAGAATCCAGCGTGGGAAGGTCACAGGAAGCGCATCCCTTCAAACTCGCTGTTGCTCACTTGCACCCATTTATCTGACTGACAAGTTGCCCGTTAGCCGCCCCACATAAATACCATGTTGATGAGGTGTAGAACTAACCCCCCCCCCTTTTTGGCAACTCTTATAGATCTGGGAACGGGAGAAAGATTTTGGTAGCAAGTGTTCCCCTCACCAGAAAGACGTTCTGATAGATGGCCACCAGTTAGCAAGAATACTTCGATGTATGCTTGTTTTTCCTAGATTTTCTTGCTCAGAACTAGAAACATAGGCCTTAACAAGGGAAAAAAAATTGTGAAAATCTTGGAGCTCAAGCAGTTGCTTGGTAACCATCCTTCATATGGGGAAAGAAGTTTCAGTGAGGGTTTCCCTTTTAAAATGCAGCCCAAAAAGATGTTAACTGGGAGAAAAGACAAGGCGAAGGCAGCGGAAAGCAGCAACTGCAAATAAAGGCCAGTGCCAAGCCACTGCAGCTGATTAGAATCATGGGTTTCAGAGCATATGCAGAGTTCATGGCAAAGAAGCTGGCATCAGCGAGAGTGTTGTGATGTCGCCTGTCGGAGGGCTGTGCCGCGGCGGCAGGTGTGGCGTGGATAAGCAAGCCGTTCTGGGAAAGCTGAGTGGGTCCTCAGCAGAAGTGACTGATCCTTTTCCCAGTGGTGCAGTGGCTTCCCTCTCCCACTTTGCTGGTCATTTGCTGGCTAGAGAAACCTGTGCAGTGGTTGGATCCACCTGTGTAGCAGCCTTGCACCCGAATCGTGAAAGCGCTGGCCGGTTCGCATGGGAAAAGCCTGCCGTTTGATACCGTTAGGCCTGGGGAAGAAAAAGCAAGGTCTGGCTGCTTTGAGCAGCCTTCTTTTTGTGGTGTCGACGCAGATGCTCTAGGGGGCCCTGCTGAATTTCTGGGCATTTCTCTCGGGGGTTTCCAGAAGCAGAGAGGCTGTGTCTTGGGGTTTTCATATCTCCAACCACACTCGTCTGGGTTATTCTGCTGACATACTTTTCTGGTTAACCTGAATCAGCTCCCCGCTGGCTCACTTCCCAGGTGGGTCGCCGAGATCTCCAGAGCGCAGCATGCCAGAAGCGGAATGAATTTTATCTAGCTTTGTTGGATCGCTTTTATTTCTAACAAACCAAGCACTGAGATTTCATCCGACGAAGTATTCTATGCTCTCAGAGTCTTCCATGGGCTTCCTCTCCTTAAACCGTACACAGTCCTAAAAGGGAGGCCAGCATTTTACCTCCCGTATTTCCGTCAAGGCGCAGAATATGGCTTTATCCATGAGGGTTTTCTGGTTCACGGCTGGGTTGACCGACAAGAACACTCCCTTCTCACGCCGACGTTGCCGAAATCCTCACTGGAGTCGAATGAATTTGCATGTCCCAGAATCTGACCAGCGGATTCCACAACAGACCGGTTTTTCTTGAATTGCGCTGATTCCGCCAACTTGTAGACTTACCTTCCCATTTATGCATATTTAGAAGAATTGAGCACGGATTGAAAAATCAGCATTTCCCCATAAAATAAAGTGTCTGAAATCATCTTGATGCTTTACTCTCTGAGCTCCATTCAGCAGCAGGTCTTTGCCCGGGGGGCCCTGTCTCTCCAAAACCCAAGGTAGTTGGCACCAGGCCGTGTCTTCCAGGAAAAAGGTTAAAGATTTATTCTCATTTTGGCAGCTAAAATGAGGATGCTGCAGTAGATCAAACAGATTTCGTGGAAGGGAACTGAAAGTACCTTGTGGATTTGATTTTTTTTTTTTTGGTAAGCCATCCAGAGACTTTATTTTTTTATAATAACTTTTATTCAAAATAACCCTAAAATGAAGAAAAACAAAAAACACATCAGAAACATCGGGCCTGCTGGGTTAGCCCCCACATTTTTTTCCATTTATGATGACTTAGAAACAGATTTAAATATATGCGAGTCCCATTTCTCTAGCCAGTAATAGAAAGAGTCCCAAGTTTGATAGAAATCAGTATCTTCCTTCTCCTTCAATGACAAAGTCAATCTACCATCCAGAGACTTTTTAGTATTGGACGGCATATAAAAACTTGAAATAAACAAACTAGTCGTTTCGGCCTGCTTGTACAAGGAGCCTGGGAAGATGGCGGCCCTTTGGCTAACCATTCTTTTTCTCTTCCCCCCAGGAATACATGGACCCCATGAACGAATACAACGCCTTGAACGAAGCGAAGCAGATGATTGCTGTGGCCGACGAGAATCAGGACCACCACCTGCAGCCCGAGGAGATCTTGAAATACAGCGAGTATTTCACGGGCAGCAAGCTCATGGACTACGCCCGGAACGTCCACGAGGAATTTTGAGTCCTCGGACCGAGGCGCTCGACACACCTCCTTGCTTTCTACAAATGAGAAATGAAAGTAACCCTTTGCTGCTATTTCTGTGTTCTGCGTGTATACCATGTGATGTTCTAGACAGTGTTTCCTCCAGAGAAAGCCGTCCACATATATTGAAGAAGAGGCTGCCCGTCTCTCCCCTTGAGAGGAGAAGGCGCCCTCAAGTCTTCAGGGTAGGATCTGGAAAGGTTCCTGCTTTTGTTATAATCTGGCCATTTCTCCTCCTCGGAGTTCAGTTGCTCCCTTTGAAGCTCTGCTCTTCTCTCTCTCTCTCTATCTCGCGCGCGCGCTTGACTTCTGGAAGTCCTGTCGAACATGCGAGGACCACTTTCCTGCCACTTGTGTCCTCAAAATCACAGTGATCTGTTCGAATTATGGGTGTGAGGGAGCAGCGTGGCAGGAGACCTGGCGGTCCCGCGAGGAAGGCTGTGTCCCCATGGGATGGTGGGGAAGGTCCCACGAGAGGAACGCTAGACAGATGGTCTGAAAGGGGGTTGACTGGGTTGCTTTGTTCCGAGACTTCTGCATCGTGCTCCCTCCCTTGCGTTCCCATCCAGGCCACCTGATTTTCCTCCACGCCTCTTTCTCCCGTGTGTGTTTCAAAAGCAGAGCAGCCTGCAGAAAACTGGCTGGCCCCGTCGGTGGTGTTCTAGCGCGAGGACTGCCAGCTGCTTTGACCCGTGTGACTCGCGCTCCCCGTTCGAAAACGAGTCCCTCATCAACACGTTCCTGCGTCTTTGACAAAATTAATTCACGCGTCTTTTTTCACGGCACCCGATGGGGCGCCGCAAGCACTACAAGGCCCATGATGCTTCTCCCACAAGCACACAAGTCGCGTCAGTATTCGTGGATGTCCCCGGTGCGGCGGCCGTGAACGTCCACTTCGAACTTGATCGGCTGGAGCGGCTCGATGCACTCCAGCAGTGTATTCTGGCTTGTGCCACAGTCTTGGCTTCTTGTGTGCTCCCCCCAGAAGCCTTTTCACAGCGCGGAGAGCAAAGGACCCACCGCCATCCTTCCGTGGAGAAATCTCGTGTGCTACCTCGGGTTGGCGTCTCTGATTTCAGCTGGAAGGGCGGTCTGGATCGGCAGAATTATTGAGCGCAGTCAGGTAGACCACCTGAGCTTTTCCTGGCCTGCAGCATTTCAGCCTGCCTGTATTAATGTGCCTGGAAAGGGGAGCTGGCGTCTTCCAGTCGCCCCCACCCACCACCCTGTGTGAGCCAAATACTGTTGCAGGAGCTCACAACTTGACTGTTCCACGGATGTAAGAGTGGGTTCTCCCTCCGACCTGACCTTTATTTCTGCCACGGCCCGTTTCCCCCCATCTCAGGACGCTCGCCCTAGGACACGCTCGGTGGGGATAAAAACGTTCTGCGTGAGGCCTAACAGTGTTTCCAGGCCCTGAAAGAAAGAATGGCTGGGATTTCAAAGCGTGGCCATCGTAAGGCAGAGTTGCCGGCCGTTTTTCAGCCGAGGGCCTCATTCCCAGGAGCTGCATCCCAGCGGTGATGTTGCTCCGTTGCAAGGTGGAGGCGTTTTGGTCGAGCTTGACGGAAAGGTTGCTCAGGAGAGAATGGGGAGTGCGCTTCTCCGTCTCTCCGACAGGCTCATTGCGAGACTTTTTCGAAGGCAGATAGTTTCTCCTGACTCGAAGTGGTACAGCCCTGCGGAAGTTGGATTGTGCCCTGCTGATTTGTGTGAAAAAGGATGTACCTTGGAAGACATTGGGCCAAATCTCCTTGCCTCTCTCTGCCAGCAGAATGATGCATATAAGTTTCTGCGCCTCCAGCTTGCCTTCTCAATATTTTAACATTCAGCCTCACAAGGAGTAGACTGTAACACCTTTTATCGCTTTGGCTACTTTTTGCACTCGGACTGTGCTCAGACAGCGCTCTGTAGCCTTAAAGATGCCCCCCTCACTCATGTTATTGCTGGCTGGGGCCACTGATACTTTAATTTCATTTAAATGGATTTATTCTGCTCTTGCCCTCCCGACAAAAGCAATGGCCTGTTCTTCTGAAATTGCAGCTTAAGGTGTCTGATTGAATTTTATCCCCTTAATATAATGTAAATACATATTCTTGTGTGTATTCTGTTTTTTCCTTCTTAAAATTTAAAGGCTTTGTGCGTAGAAGGGGGGGCGGCTTTTGACCTCGGGTGCAAGTGGGTAGAAGTTGGCAGCTTCGTGCTAGCGTGCTTTTCCAGGCGCAGGAGGTTTCCGTGTCTGTTCCTCCTATCTTCAGTTAGAAGGATATGACGAGAAGGATCTCCCGGCTGCTCAGTGTGGATAATAGGTGAGGTGAGGTGAGGTAGGGTAAAGGCCCCCCCCCCCACCATATGGATCCCAGGGCATGGGAGACGTGCAGATGGATTTCTATAAAATACCTACACATTTCTAGCAATTAACTGCTTGGTGCTTGTGTCTGAATGACACCCACTCATCTCTCAGAAGCGTCATAGGATTCTCAGTCCGTTGCAGTGCCCATTCCGGTGTAAAGATCACTCTCTCAGCTAGTAAAAGGGTGCAGAGAGTCTGTTTCCCTTTCCATTGGTCGGCTTCCACGGAGCAGGTAAATGCAAGACCACGCACATGAGTAACTATGGAAGGCTGTCCCAGTACAAAATTTAGCACGGGAATAACCTCCTCGCCCAGAAATGAGGGCGCGCTGCCAAAGCACGCGTTCAAAAGAAGCATTCGCTGGAACTCGCCTCCAGCAATTTGCCGGGCTGGCAACGCAGTGTTGAGGAATCGAAAGCTTGCCGAACAAGGTGTGCTCACGCAGGCATAGAAGTGGCAAATGGGTGTTTTGGGGTGGCGCCTTGATGAGTTTCTCAAATTCCCAAACGGGTCCAGAATTCAGGGATCCCCGAAGAGGAGCAAAGTTGGTGAATGCAGGTACTCCACGTGCTTAATTTTGTGTATAAGGACATAGATTTAAGGATGCGACGAGCGGAGCATCCAGTGTGAATTGGATTCTCTTACTTCCCCTGGTTTCAGCTGCCCCAGTGATCCTCACCGTGAATTCTTTGAAATTAGCCTTGTCATGCGAAGGGGGACTAACTTAAGTCCCTTCTCAAGAGAGGTAAGTTCCAACTTTGTCCCTGAAGCATTGGAGACTCCGGACTTCAATGCCACTAACTTTCTTCAGGTAATTGTGGTAAGCAGCACCTTTGTCCTCTGTCGGTGAATTTTCTGCAGTCCTCAAAAGCAAACCTGTTATACCACTGTGCCAGGTGTTTTATACTGCGTAGTACCGAAAGAGTGGTTCTAGTCTTGTGGTGGGAAAGGGTTGCGCTTCTCTGGCCGGAGCGCCGAATTGTTTGCAGACGGCTTTTGAAATTTTGCAAAGAGTCCCAGACTGGCTGGCTTTATGCTGCTCCATGGCTCACAGCCAAGGATAGGTTATCGTTGAGCTCTGGCTATGCCAGCAGGTGATGGTGTGTTAGCCGTGAACAACCCATGAAACAAACCATGATTTGTTGCTGGGTTATGAACTCTGTGTTTGCCACCTTGGCTGGCTTCAGGCGGCCACCAACTTTCAAGGACAGCCGAGAGCGTGGGGAATTAGAGCCTGCGTCCAGGTCCACTGATGCGCCGTGTTCGGTTCACTTACAAAGGGAACCAGTAGTGGCTTGTTGGGTTGTGAGTTGTGGGTTGTTTGTGGTTAGCTGCGTTGGGCCCCGGATGAGAGGAGGTGGTCCACTCCACACGCTTACGGCCTGCTAGGTTAGCAATGTGTGAGCAATCCGCTTAGGGCTTGGGAATCTGATTCTGAGATGTCTGTTTTCTTCGGTTGTGCGAGAACCCTGGGATTTCCTTGGGTGCAAAAGGTTACTTTGTCGGCTGGAAAAGAGGCAGAGTAGCCTCAGGGAGCAGGTGCTTTCTCATCGAAGCCTCAACCCTGGAACACCAAGAGCCGAGTCGGCACTTTTCTCTCGCAGAAGCACCTGTATGCGCGCACACACGCCCTGGTTTTTCCCTGCTCTTTCTGTTTCGGCAGCCTAGTTGGGAGTGGGGGAGCCCCAGCGTTTCCTCCCTGTGATCGTTCAGCAGTTGCAGGGTAGCAGCCCTGGCCCGGCGGCATGGCTGAGTACTGGAAAACTTTGGGGCTCGTGCCAAGAAGTGGGTAAAAACCTAATTTACATACGCACTCAACTCGCTGCCTAGCTCTCTTGCTCTGAGTGTTTGTTTAAAGCACTGTGTCATTGAGAACACCCCCATATTTGTAGAAAGCGGTGCGTGGACCTGGAGTGGAGGAATTTTTTAAAAAAATTTGGGGGTGGGGAGGCTGGGTGGGGGCCGCAGGAGGTGAATCACACATGGGCAAAAGGCCAGCTGCTGTGGACAGAACACTGAAGGCCTCAAATACTTATTTCAGCCAGTGCCCGCGGGCAGCCAGTTGGTGGACGGGGGGCCCTGCAGAAATGTGGGGCTCCCAACGAAACGTTCGGGGGCCCAGCCCTAGTGGAGAATCCTTTAGTGGCTTTTGTTGCGTGTTGTCGAGTCCTCTCCGACATCGGGGGACCCTGTGAATGGAAAGCCCCCCACAGTGGCTTTGTTGATTCCGGGTGGGCTTCCGTTATCTCATCTTTGCGCTCGCTTTCCCCCTGCCTTCAGCTTTCCCCAGCTAGATGGCCTTTCCCAGGGATTCTTCACCGGCTTCGCATGCGCCCAGGCCCTGGCGACCTGCGCTTCTCGTGCTTGCTTGTAGGAAGAGTTCTGGTTTGGTGGTTCGATTGGGGACTTGCGCCCCTTTCTTGCTGTGGGCCAGCCAGGGATCTCTCAGCCGATCCCAGCCAGCCACGTTTTGCACTTTAACCTGAGAGCACTTCTGGAGGCGAGGACCCTCGAGGCCCGAGCAGGTCTTCCCGCTGTGGCTCGCGCTGGCATCTCCGCTTCGGAGCGGAAGAGGAACGGCCGGGGAACCAGCGAAGGGCAGGGGCGGGTTATGGGGACAAAGCCCCAAATCCATTGCCATTCGTGAGCAGGCGATGCAGCGCATTCTCCCAGGCCGTGTGTGCAAGGCTGATGGGACCGTTTTGACCGCCTGGGCTGCATCACGCGGGACTGGGGTGGGCAGGAAGGCAGACCTCTCTCGATCCTGCCCGCCCCCCTGTCCGGGTGTCCCTGACACCTCCACCTTCGTGTGCGTCTGAAGGTGGGTGTTCTGGGCAGAATCAGGATTTGGCTGGTGTGCCACCCGTCTCTCCTCCACAGAACCCCTTCCTCCCCTGGCCAAGAAGGTCTTGAGGTTGGTGCTGCAGGCTTCAGGGCGTCTTGTGCCTGGGCATTTCAGCAAGCGCACCTGGCTCACCTTGTCAGCAGTGGCTCGGGACTTCGCGGCAACTGAAGTGCGACCCGTCCCAGTTGGACTCTGGCCCTGAATTCAGCAGAGCGCACCGTGGATCTGGGGTTTGGCGCACGTGGGGCGACGTCGATCGGGAGCTGGAGGAGCGCCCCCTCAGTCCAGAGTCTTGTGGGCACATCACTCCCGGGGGGCATTTAGGCTTGCTGTGACTTGGGGCACCTGCGACAAAGGGGTGGCCAAGCAGGAGGGCCTAATTTCCCAGCTGCTGCTTGGGAATTTCACTGTCACCTCAGTGGGTGATTCTGTCCAACCCTCGTCGATCTCTGGAATGGAGAAATGTGCCAGGAGATGAACAAGATGCAGGTAAATTAGGAAGGGGCCAGAGGAGGGCAACCAAAATGACCCAGGGTTTGGGAACGGTGCCCTGTGAGGAGCGATGGAGAGAACTGGGCATGTTCAGCCTGGAGAAGAGAAGACTGAGGGGGGACATGATGTCCCTCTATAAGTCCCTCAAAGGATGTTCCAAAGAGGAAGGTCAAGATCTCTTCCTGCTGATGCCAGAGTGCAGGACACGGAATAATTCAAGCTGCAACTATCCAGATACCAGGAAGAGCTTCCTCAGGGTCAGAGCAATGCGACGGTGGGACTGGCTGCCTGGAGGGGTGGGGGGCTCTCCCACACTCAAGGCAAAACTGGGCAGCCCTCTGAGTGGGGTGGTGTGACTTGGTGTCCTGCAAGAGCAGGGGGTGGACCGGATGGCCTTCTTGGCCCCTTCCAACTCTATGATTCTGAGAGGATGCTCAGAGCCCAACAAGCCACCGCCTGTTCCCCTAGTCCCTGCTGGCCACCCAAGGGCCTTTGATCCTCTCCACAGCAGCAATCCTACACGGCCCGCAGCAATGCAACCCAGCTCCTCTCCTGCTTGCTTTTGAGCCAGCTGGTTGCCTGCTGCACAGACCCTGTCCGTGCCCACGGCCGCCTGAGAGAAGTGGCACAGCAAGCTCTGCTTCCAAGCCGGCTCCATCTGCCACTCTCTGCGATCCGCTCGATTTCCACATGTGAGCAAATTGCCGAGCTTTGCTTTTTGCTGAGGAGATCGAAGCTGCGTGTGCTTTTTCCTCTCACTGAGAGAGAGAAAGAAGGCAGTCCTATGAAAGCTGCTGGGAACTTCCCAGCCACAGAAAACCGCCTCAGCCCCTTGATGTCAGTGTTGGACGAGCTTCGCAGTGTGCACACAACTCTCTCTGCCCCGGGCTGATCATGAAATTGGCTACGGGATTCGCGGCTGTGTTTGCCTTCCCCTTACTGGCGACGACCACATGGCAGTTAAGTTGTCCGAAGAACAAATATCCCCTCAGAAATGAGAAGTGCTGTAAATATTGTCCACCAGGTGAGTTGATGCTTCATTATCTTAGCTGGACGCTATGATGGACGCCGAAGGGTGTCTTGGAGAGCCGCTTCCAAGGGAGACGTGAAGGATGCCGGCAAGTGGGGCCTTCCCCGTGGTGCCCCCCCCCCGAGAAATAATGAGGAAAACGGAGACGTTGGAGGGTGGATTTTGACACAGCAAAATGGGGGGTGTGGTTTGCCGCCTGCAGGGGTGGTAGAACCTCTCGAGAGGCCCCCCAAGTCCTAAGAAAAGCCCGGCTCTGATGTCTGTGAACGGCCAACCCCTCTTGTGAGGCACTTTCTGGTTCCTGCTGAACTAGGAACCAGACGGTGCCTTAACCGTTCCCCATTTGCAAAATCACTGCCATCTCCGGAGGCAGCGAATCTCTGCATTTTCTTGCATGCAACTTCCACCCCATTTATTCCGTGTTGCTCCCCAGGGACCCGGAACAAATGTGCTCTTCTCAACTTTCCAATCGCAGTGTTGGTTCTGCCCCGTAAGCCCTCCTGTCTCTTTCCGCCTCCCGACGTGCCTTTTCCATTTAGGGGAACAGTTGCTGCTGCGATGCGACAGCTCGACCGACACACAATGCGAACCGTGCGACGAGAGGTACTATAACGATGAGTACACCTACTCGGATTGTAAAAAATGTGCCACCTGCGACAAAGGTAAGGGCTTCCCGCCAGCCTTTTCGCGAGCGACGCTTCTGCGGCTGTTTGCACCCTGGGGAACAGGTCCAGTCCAGGCCTATTGGTTGTCTAGTACTTATCCAACTGACCCACCAAAAATGCATTTTATGACCTCTCAGTCCAGGTGCGATAAACAGATGGAGGGGGGTAACGAGGTGGGCCCTGTTTAAAGAGCGTGCTTCCCACTGAGAGCCCCTCGAAGCGGGAACTGGAGGCAGAGCCTTCTCCGTGGTGTCCCCCATTTCAGAACAATCTCTCCAGTGAGATCTGCCTGCAGTCAAGGGCGTCATCTAGTGGACACTGGTGGTTTCAGGGTCAGTGAGGCTGTGTATCCAATCTGGATTTTACTTTGAACTTTTAACGAGCAAACCGTGCTGATGAACGTATTTGAAGGATAGGGTTTGGCCTGGTGGTAGTTTCTTCGAAGCTAAGGCTGAAAGCCAGAGCAGATACACAGCCCTGCTGAACCCGGAATCACCAGCTTCCCCTGGTGTCGTCTTTCCAGCACCAGTTTAACTTCTCCTGATACCCTCAGGTATTTGACAGTATACGGCAAGGTTTTTAATCGGATTTCTTATTTTTGATTGGGAAAATTGTGTGTGCTCACTTGCATTCCCATTTTTGTACAGAAATAGCTTTTATTTTGTGTACAATGTTGTATTGTTCATGTTTTCGGAGAGCTTTTGCTATAGTAATATCCTAAATGAATGAACATGAAAATCATTGTTAGTTCCATAAGCCTGGTTTGCTTTGGAGAGTACTATTCATATAGCAACATCACTGTCCTCTACCTATTACGAAACATTTTAAAAGAATTTATTGCATTCAGTAAATCATAAGACCTTTCCCCAGTGCAAGTGTGTGTCCATATCTTGGAAAAATACACAAATTCCTCAATTTGCAATCATTTTTGAAAAGGTATGCACTTTATTTTAAATAAACACACCTTCACCTTTCTTTCTTTCTTTCTTTCTTTCTTTCTTTCTTTCTTTCTTTCTTTCTTGGTCATGTTTCAGTCTAGGAGAACATGATCTAACTTCTGCAAAATGTACAAAATGGGAACAGGGGAAAAAGAAACTGCATTTCAAAATGGGAGATTGCACACTCCCTGTGAGCCGAACGGACGAAAACCCACATCCAAATCCTCCCCATGTTAGGGTCGACTTTTTAAAATTCTCCTCTACTATCGGGAGCGGTCTTAGAATCAGGCACGGTTCGGGCGCCTGCGAAAGCGGCTCAGGTTCGCCCCTCCGATTCCCCATTGCGATCTGGGCCAGAAAAAGATGGAGAGGAGAAGATGGGTCAAGAGGTGCCCCCACCAACGTGCCCCGGCAATTCTTGGAAGTGCCGTTCTCACCCCCAGTTCTGCCTGGCAAACAGCACTGGAAACTGGGGGTGGTTAGAGGTGATCAAACATCCTGTAAAAAAGCGCTGGCTCAGAGCAAAAACACCCGCGGAACTTGCCTGACCCAGGAAGCTGGTGGGAAACGGCTTTTCTGCTTAATCGCTACCGTCGGGGCCCTCCCGTGGCCACGCTGCCTTTTTCCCCTGTGCGCCCGGCTCAGAGTGGGGAGCAGGTTGTGCGCTGCAGAAAAGTGAGCGTCTTTCACGATCGTTCTCTGGCAGCTAGAAGTGGCTGGGAAATTTAGACAGCCGTACGGTCAAAACCTTCACAAATGTACTAAATCGATGCCCCTTGGCCCTATTTCACGGTAAGCCAGAGGGAAGATGTGGACTGCATGTCTCGCTCCGAGTGGCAGGAAAAGGAAAGGCCGCAGGGCTTGTGGCTGAGGCCGGCAGGGGCCTGCCCTCGCTTCCGAGACTTTCCCCGCTCTGCTGCTTGCATCCCTCTGACCAGAGAACCTGGGAATTGCAGCTGGGGTATGCAGGAGCTGAATTATGTGCCCTCGCACTCAGTTGTCATGGGAACGAAGGGCAGGGCCAGGACAACGGCCGCGGTGTTTGCAGGATCAGTCCCGGCTGGCGCCCGCCCTGTGCCTGCCCTGCATCCCACCTGCCTTGCTGCCTCAGCACCGCAGGGCACCCTGCGCCCCGTGCCCCGCGGCCCCGCTCCTGGCCCTCCCCTGGCCTCGCTGCAGCTGGTCCCTGCTGTCTCGGGTCTCCCACCCTGTTGTCCTGCCCACCTCCATCTGTCCCCCTGGCTCCTGATTCCCGGCTTGTTCCTGGCCGCGGTCCTTGTTCTGCCCACCTGCGTTCTCCTGGTTCCTGACCTCAGCCTGTCCCATGACGACGACTTGGGCTTTCCGTTCAACCCCACTCTGGACCCCATCTTGCCTGAAGTTCTGCCGCTCTGCTCCCAGCACCTGGCTTGCTCCTGCGTGTCTCCTGGCCGCCACTAAATGGTGCCCAAGAAGCTGCCCACACAGGCCCTTCGTGTTCGCAGCGAGAATCCCCATGCAGGCTTTCTCAGCCGTGTCTGGACCACCTCTCCCTCCTGCCTCCTCCCTCCTTCCTGGTCCCCCCCCCTCCCTTGGGGACGCGGGTCCCCGCAAGTCTCACTGCATTTTCCACCTGGAGGGACGTTCCCGGCCATGGCGGACACCCGTCTGTGCGCTTCCGCCGATGCTTCGTTCTGGGCTGCCCACCGGCGTTGCGCGCAGTGGCTGTAGCGTCGCCGTGATGCCGCAAAGGCTTAGGAACCTCTCCCTTGTCTCTCCTGTCTGTGCTTTCCCAGAACGGGGTCTGCATGAACTGGAGCCGTGCAAAAAGACGTCCAATACCGTCTGCGCGTGTCTTCCGGGCCACTCGCCGGCCAAGGACACCCTGGGAGAAAGCGAGAGGAGTAAGTACAGAAAGGGGGGCTGGGGGGCCACACGGGTGGCTACTGCTTCGGCACCCGACCATTCGCTTCTGTGGGACCACGAAATGGAGGGGGGCTTCCCTTGCTAGGGACTTACTCAAGGGGGCGATAGAGAGCCGGTGCAAAGGACCCTGGGATGCAGGCGGTGCGGGTATGCGACCCACTTGCCCGGGATGCTCCCTCGGGTGACTCTGGGCGGGTTGTTGACTCCCAGCTGAAGCCACCTCACAGGGTTGTTGTGAAGACGGGACGGAAAAGAGGAGAACTGTGTGAGCCACCTTGGCTTCCTTGCAGGCACGGAAATAGGGCTAGGAAATTCCTTTATTCTATCGACACCATGGAAATGTGTGTTTTCTGACTGGTGGTTTTCTTCTGATTGGGCTGCCAAGATCAACAAGGGCAGCTAGCCAGTCAGTGTCTGCGCTGATGAGACAGAGAAAACTGGGCATGTTCAGCCTCGCGAAGAGAAGGCTGAGGGGGGACATGAGATCCCCGTATGAGTCCCACAAAGGCTGCCACAAGGAGGAAGGTCAGGATCTCTCCTTGCTGGTGCCAGAGTGCCGGACACGGAATAATCAAGTCCAGTTGCGACAGCCCAGGTTCAGGCCGGGCATCAGGAAGAGCTTCCTCAGGGTCAGAGCAATGCGACGGGGGGACCGGCTGCCTGGAGGGGTGGGGGGCTCTCCCTCACTGGAGGCATTCAAGGAGAAACTGGGCAGCCCTCTGAGTGGGGTGGTGCGACTTGGTGTCCTGCAAGAGCAGGGGGTGGACCGGATGGCCTTCACGGCCCCTTCCAACTCGACTTGTCTATGGTTCTGTGGAACCACCCCAGCCTTACCTTTCGGTGGTGATCTTCAAGAAGGCAGGAAATCCCATGCCGCCGGCAGGACTGTTCACGTGCCCAGCAGTTCCTATTTCCACATTGTTCGCTGACCTGCACGTGTGAAAGCCAGACCAGTATTCTTTTGTTTTTATTAACCTCCTTACTTTCTTGCTTCTTTCCCTCATGCCAGGATGTGATCCCTGTCCCAGTGGATATTTTTCCAGAGGAGGGAAAGAGCGATGTCGCCCCTGGACAAAGTAGGTACCGCAAAACGGAACAGTTAAGACGAGCTGGCACGAGCAGCAAGATCGTGTTGTGAAGTTGTGTCGTTGTTGTTTGAGAAATAAATCCTGCATGGTGGACCTTCAGACGGTGGAAGGGTGGAGGGAAGCTTGTCATTTCTTGTTATTTAGGGCGCAGTTATAAACACGCGTAGCGGTAAGCCTCATTGAACTCAATGAAATGCTGCGATTTTCCTTCCGATATTTCCAGAATTGCATCTCAAGGCAATGTACCTTCAAGGCCATCTGCAAGATAAACGTTTCAGATGATTAAATATTAAATACAAGCCGACAGTGGTATAATGCGTGGAATCAAGAGTGCAAAACCGCTTTCGAATGGAGGGTGGGATTCAACTTCACAAAAGCTCTTTAAAGCCAAGCTCAGCCCCAATTTGGCTTAAAGCTCTTACTGCCAGGAAGTCAGCCATCGACACATTTCAGTCGTTAGGAACAGGGAGAAACGGCCGGAAGACAGAGAAATCGGCAAATGTTTGGGGGTCGGGGAAAAGAGGACAAGCAAGGCAACTGTTCGGGAAACTACAGGGGGCCGGACTGGGACCCCTCAAACCTCGCTGTAAACCCAAGATTCCCCACCTGATGTGAAGAATATTTGCAGAGCCGTTTCTGCAAGTCTGGTCCCCTCTTCTAAGGATGCTGTGATTGCTGATTGGTTAGCTGGGATAACAAAAGCCAACCAGTCAGCGAGCCATAAAAACTGGTGTTCTAACCGCCTCATGTTGCTCAAATTTTTGCAGGGTTCTTCCTTCCTTCCTTCCTTCCTTCCTTCCTTCCTTCCTTCCTTCCTTCCTTCCTTCCTTCCAACCAAGAAACCTCCATTTATGGGGTGACAGAATCCAAAAAAGCATTTTTCTAAGCAGGAAAGGAGATCACTTTTGATGGTGAAGTTGCAAATTCGCCGTCTCTGTTGTCTCCCTGCCCACTGAAAGGTTGCCAAAACTAGGGAGTGCTGTCCTGGGGAGGGGCTTGGGAAAGGGCCCCCCCACCTGTGTCTCAGCCCCTTTTCACTGGGTGGCCACGATTGATCTCTTCCCTGTTGCTCTTTGTTTGCATGGCCAGCTGCACTGCTTACGGCCAGAAGACCCTCCGTGCTGGGAAAAGGGACGAGGACGCCATCTGCAGCGAGCCGCCCACCCGGGTGCCGAGACAGACGGCCATCGTGGTTCCCTCAAGCCTAAGGCAGGGGCCGGGCACAGCGACTACGACGTCCTCCTCCACTCTCACGACTTCGGCTACTCAGCCCGGGAGGGACAGGCCAAAGGAGCAGAGAGACGGTGAGGGTCCCGGGTTGCAGGGCTGGGCAGGTGCTCTGCAACAGAGAGCCGCTCCTTTCCCCCCATGGCAGCCTGCTTGCTTGCCCACCTCTCGCCCCGGCCTGAGGAGTAGGAGGTGGCCCAGCCTCCTTGCGCCCAGGTGCTCCTCCTGCCAAGCCAGGGAGGCTAGCCAGGGTGAGAGAGAGGAGAAGCCAGTGCAGATGGGGAAAAGCGTGCCCAGAAGTTTGGCTCACTGCGGCTGTCCGAGCCCTGGATTTGGCCCTGCTCAGAGGGGAGTTGCTGTTCTTCTCTTGCTTCGCAGCAGTGCTGTTGGAACGCCCAGGCCCCAACCCTTTCCGCTTCCCGGGACAGGTCGCCCGAGCAACAGCTTTGGTTCTCGCAGCAAAAGCAGCTCTTCTTTACAGAATGCTTGTGGGTGGCCAGCTCCAGCCCGATTATCTCTGGTGCTCTTTCTGACAAGCTGAGGACCAAAAGGCCTTGCGATGGTTCCGAAATCCATTTTGGCTTTTGTACACTAAGAAATTCTTTTCCTGTTGAGCCTTAATACCTCCTCTACTTTCTTCTCTTACAGCCCCCCAAATGGAGAAGAATAAAGTCAGGGTTTCCCGGAGCGTTGCATTGGCTTGGGGCATCATTTTTCTCCCTACGCTCTTCTTCTTTTAGCTACTCCAACTTGAGTTTTAGTGGGTTTGCCCAAGTAGCTAATGCTGAATTGAATTATCTATCATGTATTTCCCAGGTGGCTCTAACTTTGAACTTTGCTTTTATGTTTCTCTTTTAGGGCTCTTAATCATTTTCCTGACCAGTGCAGGGCTGTTGCTTGTGGTCGGACTGGTGATCTTTCTGCTATTTCGTCAGAAGGCCAAGAAAAAGGACTCTGCTGTGTTCACTAATGTTCCACATGAGGGTATGTCACACCAGTTGCAAGAATCAAAGTTCCAGGCTGTTCCCTTAAAAATAAAATTAAAAATGTCTAGAATTAATGCTGGTTGGGTTACAGTTGGTGGTTGAAATTTGGTCTTGTCCCAAGTTTTAGATGGAGGTGGTATCTATTATTACTCATAATAACCATGAAATAATATTCATGATTATTCATAGCAATCATGAAATTATTATGTTTCATGATTCATAATGCTATTTATTTATTAAAAACATTTCTATCCCATCCTTTGCAAAAAGCACCTCAGGACGGCTTACAAAAAGTTCAAATAGCAATATAATATTGTTGTGAGCCGCCCCGAGGCTTCGGCGAATGGGGCGGCATAGAAATGTTTTAAATAAATAAATAAATAATACAGTAACAATAGTTAAAATTCAGTAAAAACACAACATAAAACAACACTTTCAAAACTAAAGAAAAAGAGGAAGAGAAGGAACAGAAAAAATGTGACTGTGTAAAATTCTTAATAAAACGGTGGCTAAATAAAAAGGTCAGAATGTTATGAGCATTATGATTCGTAATATAATAATGATAATTAATAATGATTATTATGAATCATGAAACATAACATCACACCGTTCCTAGAAAAACGGCCACAGAACTGTCCATGGGACAGCCCTTCGAACTTTCCATTTCCCCGCCGTGTTTGTCTCACACCTGCAAACTCATCCCCAGTTGTGAATTAATGTGACTTCGCAGAAGACTGGCTAAACTTTGTCACTTACGGGGAGTTTATGGCCGTGACCAGCCAGGGGTATTTAGTACTCCATAAGTCCTGATGATCTCTAAGTGGCTTTCTCACATGAACTAATTTTAGGGCTGTGAGCACTAATGGACGGAGCAACTTCAGGAAAATAATCTGGATTTGGATTCTCCAGCCTAGGGCCTTCTTGATAGGTTGGGCTGCCATCTCCAACATTCCCAGTTGGATAGGGTGAAATCGTTCCACTCTTATTTCAACCCCAAATGAGCTGATTTTGAACTTTCTTCCACATTTTGCAAGACTCTGTCCATCAAACCGTGCAGGTAAATGTGACTGTATTAGCGAAATTGGGAAAATAGAGGGAGATTGGGAAAATTGCTGGAAAATTCAGTCAAACTATCCAGCAGAATGTAACAAATGCACATACAAGGAAATTTGTTCAACCAACTTGAATGAAAAGACTAGAAATGTTCACGTCCGTGAAAAGATGAACCAAATTTAGAATTAAGTTCCGGATTTAGGACTGGACAAATAAGACATTGAGTAAAACTGAAGTGGACAGATACATTTATTTATGTTTAAATAAACTAAGTAAATTTCACCATATTCCAGACCAGCAGAGCTATTAGAAGGATGGGAATTGCAGTTCCATACATCTGGGGGGCCCACCTGGCGTGTATGAATGGCAGATTTAGCTAGAGGGGCCCAGCTTCCAGGACGATCACCTGCAGTTTTACGCTGCTCTTGGCCAACGGATTTGGCCTTTTTCACTCATCCTACCCTAACCGTAAACCCTCCCCATGCTTGTCTTTCAGATGGAAGAAACAGCTACCGATTTCCTGTCCAGGAAGAGCAAAAGGACTGCAAATCTAGCCTTGCCCGAATCTGATGGAGCGCATCAGGTTTGGCACCTCTGAGCCAAAGGAACTCAGCCCCGACCTCCAGATTGCTTCCCATTTGTCCGCCTTCCTCCCAGTCAACTCCCTTTCCCCTCCCCTCCCAAACAGGTCTTGGATCTTGTGGATTATAAACCTCTCTGAGCAGGACCTGTTTTGCTTCTGACAGCCAGGGGTGCTGCCGGTCGATCGTTAGACCTTTGGGACTTCAACTCCCAGAAGGCTCTGCCAGTGGTCAGCAATGCTGGGAGCCCCAAACATCTGGCGATCGACTTTTTGGCCAAACCCAGCTGTTTTATCTGCTTGATAAGCAATAAGAGGGAATGATTCCACCCTGAGCCAACGAGAATTGTGTACGTGGCACATACTTCCCCTCTTTGAGCTAAAGGCAGAACCTGCTTTGGGGGTTATGAATCCTTTCAAAAGAAAAGAACACATATGAATTACAGAGATCGATCACATCTCTAAATTCATATAGTCCATAAATATTATATATTAAACTGCCTGAGTTGAGTGGATTTCAACATTTTTGTGTTTCCTAAAGGGAATATTAATTTTACTCCTAGATGGGGAGTTTTCTATAGCACAGAATTCTTTCTCTCTCTCTCTATCTGTATACCGGAGATACACACAGAGAGACGGACACGGGTGCTTTTGTATGTAGGTACAAATAAGATTTGTTTGTTTCTTTGATATGTATTTGGAAGTTTGGATCCAGATTAGTTATACATACAGCAGGTCCCCAATTTAATTGGGACTTTAGTATGATTACAGTTGGATCCAACCTCATATTCTTACCTAAAGTAGGTTTTTGTCCCACTGGGCACCTTTGATGCACCCCAAAGCTCAGAAGGCCGGGGCTGCATAAATCCAGTTTTCTAGTTAGAGGTTGGATGCTTTTGAAGGTGAGCGCTTCCAGGATTCCAACATGAGACCGTAAGTGTTCAGTTTTGTGAATGGGCAGCCAAGTTCTTCAGATAAAGGAGGGTCTGATCTTGGTCTGGACCAGACTTTCTCGTGCCAGCTGCCGGGGCCTCCTGCCAGTGGTTCCTGCTGCAGAAATGTCTCTGAGAGATGCTTTGAAGCGTGTGGCTGTATTTATGCAAAAGCAATGCAAGTGAGCCAGTTTTGTTTCAGGTTTTGCCGTGAGTCAGCTTTCAGACAGTGATGGCGAGAAGCTCAGGTGGTCTTCGTGATAGCTAGTGAAGTGGATGAAGGCGCTGGTGGACCAAAAGTTGGCACCAGTCTTCTGGGAAACGGTTCAGATGAGACATGAGGCCCTGGGTGGCCTGCATTTTGCTGGGCGGAAAGCCATCTTGATTCGTACGCTAGCTTACTCTCCCCCCCCCCTCATTTTTGCCTAGCTCTTCTAATCCTTCCTATATCCCCCCCACCTTCCGTATCTGGGCTGCTGCAGTTGGAGAGCTAGCGAAAGACACCACCTAGCTTCATCGGTGGTGGTCTCTGAAGCTTCGGCCATCTTGGCCATCTCTTCCCCCTCCTTATGATGATGAGAAGCAATTCCTGTTTTGTCTTGAAGTGCCGAACTTGACCCTTAAACCAGCTGGCTGGGCCAGTCCATGGGTCCCAAATGCCCAGTGTTGATTTCTCCTTCCAAAATGGTTCCATCCAACCTCAAGAGTGAGTTTTGGGGGAAGCCAAGGTTTACAGAAGCACGAAAGATCTCCCAAAGAAGGGAAGCTGTCCCAAAACTGCCAACCCAATGTGGTCCAAGCAAACTCGTAGCTACAGAATATTATTTGGCCTTGCGGGTGGCCAGACGTGGGAATTGAACGGGGTGGCTAGAATCCCGAACAGCCAAAATTTTGTATCTCTGAGATAAAAGCATCACCTTTGCAGTGCGTCGTTTGGCTGGAGATTCCAAGGGCTGAGCGGCAGAATTTTTAGATCAAAAGCAGCTGCTCCGTTGTTGAACTGTGATCTTTGAATTTGGTTACATTTGTCGTATCGATGATCGTTTTTGTTTGCTTTGTGTTTTATCTGATCACTATCTTGGAGCTGCAAACCGCAGTGGTCTAATTTATGGTTTTTCTTTTGAAAAATGAGCACCGGAGGGTTTTTTGTTTTTGTTTTAAGCACAAACACACAGGTGCTTCATCCACATGCTGAGTGTAAGTGGCTGAATTTGGAAAATTCACTGCATTTGGAGATGATGCAAAATATTTCTAGTTTCTGCTTTGCTTCTGAGTTGCTGCTGGAGGGCAAGCTTTTGTACGTTGAACAATGAATACCTCAATGTTAGGTTTTAGCTCTAGCGCAATTAAAAACATAACTGTTTCAGCTCCTTTTCCCCGTTTCCCTGTGTGATGACATGATATTTATTTCTGAATAATTGATCCACAATATAAGAATAGCCTTGGCGGAGCCCAGAACAGCATTCAGTTTTCAGCCTCAGACATTTAAGGAAATCAAACAATGGGTCTTTTTTCTCTTTATTATCGCTGTGATCATCATTACTATTACATTACATTTATTTTTAAATTGTATAATCCTCAATAATCCTAAATAGAGCTCTCTGGGTGGTGAACAATTAAAGCCAATAAAATACAAAATAGTGCAATTTAGACAGCTACAGAGATCCGTTAAATATCAACAGGCATAGTAAACTAAAACCATCAATAAATCCATATAAAATTTAAAAAAAACACTAATCAGTTACAAAAGTATCTGGAAAATAAATACGCATTGCTTTTATATCCCACCTTTTCTTCCTAGCCTTGCTTAGAAGCCTTTTGAGCTCCATGGTATCCTCAGCTTCAACAACAACCCTGCGAGGCAGGCTGAGCTCAGGTCACCCTGTGAGTTTGATGGCTGGGTGGGGACCAGACCGTGGATCCCCTGGTCCCAGCCCAGCACTTCTGCCCATTTCTGGTGCCTGGGCAAGCGGGTGCTGGCCTTGACGGAAGCAGGGCCCAAGCCAGGGGCCAAATCCAAAAGGGAAGGTCATCCGACATTCCAAGCGTCAAGCATCAAGGTTCTGCAAGTACGCACAGAGTGCAAACGGAGGGGAAAGGACATTTCTGCAGCGGAGGGCATTGCACAAGAGTCGAGCGGGGGGCACAGCTCAGCAATGCAGACTGTTGACTCCAGGAAACAAGTCAGGGGCACGGAACTGAAGATCTGTGTTGCTTTAGGCACGGGTTCGGTAGTCACTGAAGGCTTCCTCAGCGGAGCCTCTTGGGTCCCGCTCACCCTCAGCCGCTGTTTTCCCGGAAGATCCTCTGCCACACAGGCAGCCCTTCTTGGGGCAGACTGGTTAGCCCACAGCCGGAGGCAACGGCACTCCTGCGGACCCGGAGGCGGCTCAGCTTCTGCCCCAAAGGGGTGGTGCTGGTCTGGGCTGGATGTGTCCCCTTTGGAGGAAGCCTCCTCCAGAAAGGCTTCTCCGGAACGGCTTTGCTGGACCAGACCAAAGATCTACTTTGGACCAAGTATCATTTCGCTCGCTGCTTTTGCAGAACTGCAGGACAACCGGGTTGCCCACCCCAAAATGCTCCCCTTGGAGAAATGCCCCAGTTCTTAGCTAGAAGTGGGGCATAAAAAGGGAACTGACCAAACCAAAAATCTCACCCATCTTCTGGGCACCTGTTGGCCTCCTTCACGTCACTTCCTAGAAGGTAATCCCTTCAATATACACCCTCGATATATAGCACACCGCCCCCATGGGTTCCCAGGAAAATAAATTTATACCGAAGATGAAGACGTCATTTTTCAGTCTAGAGAGTTGCAAGCATTTTAACACAAGAAGGGAATTAATGGTGTTTTCTTTCATGCTTTTGTATAAAGCTGGATCAAGCGATTAAATTTCCTGCAGGATTTAAAAGCGCCACAAGATGGAGCCTCTCTCTTTCCTATCTGAACTTGAGTTCATTTTTTGAATCTTAGATGCAGTTCCTTTTGACCTTTGAACATTTCTCCAACTTTGACATTTTTTAAAAATATGCAGCATAAAAATCACAGGGTAACTTGTAAGCGATTTCAGAACTCATTTCTCTGAGCTGAAGTATTTGGGTGACTCTTTTTGTGAAATACATATTTTTGTCAGCAATTTTGCTAAAATATGTTTAACAATGACCTCCTTCCCCATGTATTCATGCATTCATCTTTGCAGCATTTAACAATTAAATTTACATTTTGCAGCATTTAACAATTAAAATACATTTTGCAGCATTTAACAATTAAATTACATTTTGCAGTATTTAACAATTAAAATTATGAGACAGTCATCCATGGGTTAAAGATGAGTTGGATTTTTAAAGATCGGTTTTGTTTTCTGTCTAAAGATTCAAATGGGAGGAGGGGCTCAGACAAATCTCTAAAATTAGGAGTTTCACAAACATGCCATCACCACCAAGAAGGCCCTGTCTCTTGTGCCTGCCTGCCTGAGCTGGGCATAACAGCAGAACTTCAGAAGGCTCCTTTCGGGAGCTTTTATCCATGCTAGCTCAAGAGGTCTTCATGTTTGTTTGGCTATGTAAAGTGTTTATATGCCATCCTATTACTAAAAGTCTCTGGATGGCTTACAAAGAACAAAAAACAACTACCACCACAACACACAACACACCGCCTCTGATGAATAATGATGCAAACAAGGGTAAACCCAATTAATGGTTAAAATACCAAGAAAATAAAAAAGTTTTCACCTGACGCCAAAAATGATAAAGTGTCGGTGCCAGGAGGACCTCCCTGGGGAGCGAGTTCCACAGTCGGGGAGCCACCACTGACAGGGCCCTCCTCCGAGTCGCTGCCCTCGGATTTCCTTCCAAGAAGGTTCCTGGACTGGGATGCTCAGCATCTTGTAAACATAGCACAATAGGGCCATGAAATAAGGGAACAGAGTTGCCTTCTTGGGATACTTCCGGAGGGAAAAAGGCCCTGCTGGACCAGAGAGAACTTTCGGCCTTCCTTGTGTCCCCCCAGTCTTGGCCCGTCTCCCTAGATGAGGAAGGTTGCATGGCCTCTACCAAAAGAACAGCAAGAAGATCCTTCTGATCCCACAGGGAGTCAAGCCGCCCTGTAGATAAGAGCTGCTTTTGCTTGCAGAATGAGGCTGTTGGCCTGGCTGAAGCAGCCTCCCCACCTCGCAGGACAGGCGGTCACGGCCCGGCCACAGTGGCCGCCGCTGGAACAGAGGCAGAGGCAACTCATGAGAATCCCTGCCAAGAGGTTTTGCCTTTTACCTTTGGCTTGGGAGAAGAACAGGTGCTTTGCTCGGCCTGGGAGGCCTGCAGTCTCCCCTGCCATATTCAGGGGACCGAATACGCTCCAGGGAAGGGGGCTGTTTCTTTTGCTTGTTTCTATTCTGAGCCCCTCTTTCGTCAAGGTTTTCCATAAACTGCACACCATCTTTGTTCATCCTGCGTATCTTGAATCTGGAAGGGCAAAGTCTTGGTTGGACAAGCCGACATGAAAACCCCGACGTACATTTTAGACAAGCAGCTGAGATCCAACCATGTGCCCATATTTGACTCTATTATTTCCGGAGGAACAGAAATAAAATCTAGGCCTTTCGGCTTGAACGGTCTGATGGGGGAGAACGTTCTCGAATCTTCTAGCTTAAGGGAAGCCACAAGAGATCTTGGGCAAACCGCACCAGCTGTGAGATATCAGACATTGATCACCAGATAGAAGATGGTGGTGGTACATTTTGACAGAATGGATTTGCCTTTGTTGTGCTCAGCAGAAATTTTCAGCCCCGCAGACCGATCGTCCGTCAGCTGCCGAGACTTGACATCTTGAGCTGGCTGTCGTTTTTGCTTGCGGTGCTGCTTTCGCAAGGTGAAGGATCCTCGCGAACGCGGTCTTCTGCAAAGTCTTCTTAAAGTCATGACGCGCGGTTTCCGGGTAGACCAAAAGATAGCTCAGAAGGATAAAAAGAAGAAAAGCGATGTATGAAACATGACCTTCACAAAGATCTTGGTTCTGCTTGCTGCCAGGATGGGCCCTCCTGATTCAGCAAAAAGAGGAGGGGCACATCCTGCTTCTTGGGGGTATTAAGCAGGTCTTAAATTTGCAGAAAAACTGTGCAATCATTTGTTTTAAAAATGGAAGCCATCTGTTTGAAGGTGGTACTGGAAAATCCAAAGCTGTGAGGCTTTGTAGGGGCAGCTGGCCAGGCGCAATAGCAGCCTGTCAGCTTTTCCCATTGGCTCTGCATCTGCATCCTAGCATGTCAAAGTACGCTCATCTGTCACATCCTCATTGATTTATCAAACTCATTATTGGCTGCATCGGGGTGGACAGATGCTTTGGCCTGTAATTCCCAGCTGCCCTTGGCAGCATAGCTAAGGGTGAAGGATTCTGGGAGTTGGAGACTGGGACATCAGAAGGGCTACAACTTACCAACTCCTGGTTTACACTGAGTAGTAGAAGTAGTAGTGTTTCAGGCGGACCTTTTTCCCAGCCTTACCTAGAAATACCAAGGAATTTCCTGGAAGTATTTGCAGAGAAAGAAGATTCTCTGCAAAGGGATTCTGGTTCTTTCCCTAAAACTTTGAGTCTTTCCTTTCACAAGGAAAGTTGTACAGCCGCGTTTGAGGTTTCATTGACCCTCTGAACCCAAACCCATGGCCAGAAGGGATCCATCTTCAAGAGCTAAAATGTGCAATGTTTCGTCTTCTGAGAAAAATCTGCAGTGCATCTCTTAAGAACTTTACCTGGGAACTTGATAGTGATTATCAGAATGCTAATTTTTAAAAAAGGGATTCAGGAAGTTATGCACCAGTTGCCTTAAGCTCCAGGAAAATATTATTAAAAATAAAATTGTCTGTCATATACAGGGACGAATCTTCCATAGAATCAGCATGGCTTCTGCAAAAAGGAGTCCTGTACCACTAAACTTGGTGACAACTGCTCGAAGGGTACCCATTTATGGCAGCACAAATGACAAAGAGTTTGGTGTTAACTTAAAAACTGCATCTGTATTTGAGCATGAGGTTTCATGGCCATGGTGAGCTGGGAGGTAGCTATCTTTGCAGGTGATGGAATGCTTTTGAGGGGTCAGGACGAAACGGGATTGTGAAAAGCTGTGGAAAGAACCTTTTTATCTTTGTCCTGTGGTGTTTCGGTGCACCAGAGCTCCCAGGAAGCTCGTGGGCTCTGGGTACCCCTTGGCTTGACAGCACTCTCCAGCCCTGATGTTGATTCCTAGGCGTCGCGAGCAGCTGCGAGCAGGTCCCTGCCATGCCCTCGGTCCAGGGAAGACACACGCTCCGCCCCGCGGGTCAGGAAGGTGCCTGCGCTAGGGGCATCTGTAGGATCTCTTCTCCGGTCCTCTCACGTGTGAGTCGCAGGCTGGCTTTGCTGGATTCCCCTTCCCTTGCCGCCCCAAGCCCTGCTCCGCCTCTGGCCTTCGCCTTCGACCGATCCGGCAAGCGGTGGCTTTTCGGTGCAGGTGCCTCCCGCCCACCCGCCCACCACGACCTCGCAAGACGCACCCGCCTCCCCCTGACTGGTTGCAGGAGTGATGACTCCGCGAGGCGAAATGACGCCTGCACGGGGAGGGCACGAGCGCCCCGGGCCAGCTCTGACATTTCAGGCTGACGGCAGGGCTTGACGTCACGCGAGCGGCATCCCAAAAGTGCAGGCTTTCATTTCCCCCTTGAGCACGGCTCTCGTCCGACCGAGCCGAGGCCGCCTTCCCCGCATGCTTGCGATCTTTTCCATGCTGGCAGGAAGTGGCAGCCTCGCGGGCACGAGCTGACAGAAATGTGGCTGTGTGGGCCCGGTGAATGCGCTTCCGGCGTGCTGACGGTGCTGCCCCAGGTGTGTTCGAACCCTCGCAGCTTCTCGGACGCGGGAGCGCGAAATGTTCCCGATTAGGATTCGGCAGAGGGGCATTGCGAGTCGGACATCGCGAGGGTCGTCTTGCTGCTGGCTCCCCCCAGATGGGTGGGTCTGGCCTGATGCCAGTCTCTCCGTTGCTGGGTTAAGACTTTTCTCTTCTGGCCGGGGGCCTCAGGCGGAATCCGTGTCTCGTCAGTTTCGATGCTGCAGCCCATCTTCCCAGTCTGGTGCTCCCCAGATGTGTGGGACTAACACCCATCATCCTGCAATCTGTCCTTATGCTGCCGAGTTGGTTGGCCCTGGAATTCTTCCAATGAAGGGATGAATTTTCCTTTCTTGGAATAAACCAAGAGATATTTTGAATATAATAATAAGCTGATTGTAAGGTCATATGTGTTCACTTGTTTTATTATTATATTTGTAGCCTGATTTCTCCCCCTTCTGCAGGGATCCTCTAGCCTCCTCCTCGGCCCCTGCATTCCCAACAACCCTGTGAGGTAGGCTGGCCTGAGAGTCGGCGATTAGCCTACAGTCTCTCTGAGTATCATGGCTGAGTTAGGGACCAGAACCAGGAAACTTTCCACTTCTGCAATCATCCGAACGCAAACTTGGCATTTAGAGCTCTTTGAAAATTTGCACATTGCTGAATTTTGCAAGGCAGGTCTCCAAACCAGGAAATGAATACAAAAAATGTATACACTGGAGGGAAAACTGTTTGCTAATATGCTGCATTTTAAAAAACAAACTTGCTGGCAAAAAGTGTGTATTTTAGTCATCAAAATGCAAGTGTTAAGAGAACTGAGCAAGAAAATGGTTTAGAAATTTTCTTCTGAACATTTGTGTTCAATAGGAGGCCGCTTAAAGATTGCTGAACAAAGAGAAAGCGCGTTGCTAAAAATGGAGCACAATTTACATAACAATTCCATTTGCTAATTTATCCCTCTTAGATGCAAATTTCAAAATAGTTGTTCGGTATTTCTGCTCAAATGATAATATCTCACCATACTGTGGAAAACTGGGGGAGAGAAACCGATGTAGCTTTCTCTTAAGCATGCAATTGAGGTTTTAGGATGCTTCGTCTTTTAACTGAGTTTGAACAGAACCATTTGGCCAATAAAGGAACTGTCTTTTCAAAATATAGGACACCTGGCCACCTAAGTTCTACCTAGCGATGTGCATTTTGAGGGCAAAGTTTGCATTTGAGGGCAAATGCGACAGAGGTGAAAAAGAAAAAGATCTTGGAGTAATTGTGGACGATAGACTAAACGTGAGTCAACGATGCAGCCACCCAAAGGGCAAATGCTATTTTGGGATGCATTAACAGAAGCATGACTTCCAAATCACGAGAAGTAGGAGTTCCCCTGTACTCCTCACTAGTCAGACCTCACCTGGAGTATGTGTCCAGTTCTGGGCACCAAGATTGAAGAAAGATGCAGGTAAATTAGGAAGGGTCCATTGGAGGGCAACCAAAATGATCTGAGGTTTGGAAATGCTGCCCTGTGAGGAGAGACTGAGAGAACTGGGCATGTTCAGCCTCGAGAAGAGAAGACTGAGGGGGGACATGAGATCCCCGTATGAGTCCCTCAGAGGCTGCCACGAGGAGGAAGATCAGGATCTCTTCTTGCTGATGCCAGAGTGCCGGACACGGAATGATCGAGTCCAGTTGCGACAGCCCAGGTTCAGGCCGGGCATCAGGAAGAGCTTCCTCACTGCCAGAGCAATGCGACAGTGGGCCCGGCTGCCTGGAGGGGTGGGGGGCTCCCCCACACTGGAGGCATTCAAGGAGAAACTGGGCGGCCCTCTGAGTGGGGTGGTGCGACTTGGTGTCCTGCAACAGCAGGGGGTGGACCGGATGGCCTTCATGGCCCCTTCCAACTCGACTCTTCTCTGACTGTTCAGAGAGAAGTTCATGCAGTAGCACGTTTAGGTTCTAATATCATGATGCGAGGGGGGCAAATGTCCCCGTGTGGTCTGCACCCCTCTGCCGTGACTCCGCTTCGTGCTGGTTAAGCGAGCTCAAATGTTGCAGCCTTTCCTTCCAAGGAAGCCGCCGCAGCCCTGCAGCACTTCAATTCCCCTTTTCTGCCCATTTCTCAACTCTGCAATATCCTTTTGCAATGCAGTGGCCAGAACGGAGTGCGGTCTTCTAAGTGTGGTTATTTGTTTAAAGAGAGCGAGCACAATCTTGCACTTTGTGAATTTCAGTTCCTTTCCTGATTTTGCCAAAAACGGCGCGTGCCTCTTTCACAGCTGCTAAACTCCGGGCTGCTTTCTCATTATGTTTCCTCCACAACCTCAGGATCCTGTTCTTGGGCCTCTCATTGCTGCGCCCTGTCTGCTTTTCCAAATATCGGGGCACGCAAATAGCTGCCGTGACACGACCTGGAGGCCTTGTGCCTCTTGTCTTGTGGGTTTCATGTCTCAAAGTTTTGTCACCAGGTCTGTGTCCAGGCCTCCTGATCCCAAACAGAGAGAAGGGAAAGCAGAAAAGAGCATCCTTGAACTTATATCCCTTAACCACTTCCTACTTCTATGTTTAGTTGTGTTTGCTGTTGTTGTTGGTGGTGTTGTTATAGTTCTATCGTGCCTTCTGCCCCTTGCAAGCTATGTAGCTTTTACAACCTGCCTCTTTTCCTTTCACAACAACCCGGTGAGGTAGGTTAGGCTGAGAGACAATGGCTGGTTCAAAGTCTCCCAGGGAGTTTCATGGTCCAAGTAGGGGCTAGAACCCAGATCTCCCGAGTCCCACTCCAACACTCTAACCACTATGCAACACTTCCTATCACACCACACTGGCTCTGTTCTGTTCTGTCATTTGCCAGCTACTGCGACTTTTTGGCACTGAATGCTAAATCGGGGCTGATCCAGCGATCAGGGGAAATGCCCACAAAAGCTCAGAAGCGTGCCAAGGGCGGGCGAGCCCCTGTCTGGCTGTCTGCAAACATCTGCGGCAAACACATGCTCAGAGGCACTCTTGGGGCCGGAAGAAGCCTGCTGGCCCATCTTGTGACCAGAAAAGTATGCATCACGGACGGGGTTGTCCAGCCAGGAGAGGGGGGCCGGTGGCTGAAGGAGGAAAAGTCCAAGGGGCTTTCGTCCGTGAGCCCATACTGGCCCCGAACCTGCTCCAGACGGCAGACTCTCTCCTGCTTTGCCCTGAACTTCCAAGCGATCCTGCTTGCACTGAACTGTGCAACCAATGGGAGATTTTTCCTGGCTGGAGGGAAGCTGCGATCAAGTGGAGCCCCAAGTTCTGATCCAAGATTTCGGGTCCCTGCACCACTTCCTCTGGATTCTGACTTTAGCTGCCTCCTCGCTAGACCTGAACTTTTATCCTATTATTTAAGAAGGAGGCAATTCTGGTGCTCCCTGCAGATCGAACCTGCCTGTTTCGAAGACGGCTTCAAGCCTTAAAGGGAGACCTGATCCCTGCCTTTTGAATGCCGTTTCCATTTAAGCATGGGTGTATTTCCCTTCCTTTCCTTGCGCCCTTATTTCCTTAGAGCAGATTTTTCTGTTCAAAAAGGTAAGATGGCCGCGTTTAGTGGGTTCGTCTGTTCTGGAGCTCCGTGAGTAGAAGGCAGCGATGGCCGTGCGCAGGCCCAAGAAGAGATCCCCGGACATTTTCTCAGTCCAGCCCCTCCTGAAAGATTCCCGCTCAGCTCATCCGCAAATACCAGAAGATCCATTGCTTTAAACTGTTTATGTTGCTCTTCAAAGCTGCAAGAGGCTCTCCAGGAAGGCTGGCCGGCAAACCAAAAGAAACATCTTGCAGCATGAGCGCACAAAGAGGCTTGTTTTGGAAACAAAACTCAGAATTTCCACGGGGTGTTATGGTCAATCAGGCAGAACCTTGCCCTGGGACTCAACGAGTCCGTAGCCTTCGGCACGGCCCTCCGGCTACCGCCGGCTGGGGAACGGCTTCTGTGCCGGACCCAAGGCAAGGGAGTGAGGCTGGACGGCACCTGGATTCGTCAGGCAGCACCGTTAACGGGATGGCAGCCCCCCCTCATCCCCCCCGCCTGTCTGCCTCTTGCCGAGCAGCACCTTGACTTCCTCCTTCTCCTTCCTGCCGGCACTTTTTCTTTTGGCAGCAAGAATACAGAAGATCTATTTCAGTGGTTCCCGTTAGGGACTTCTTGACACGTCACAGGCCGGAAATGCCCCATGCGGCTCTCTTCCCACAGAAAGGTGTGGGCCGGACGGTACAAAATGCGGCCAGAGCCGGAGCAGGACGGGGAGGAGAGAGACGGTGGCTGCGGAGCATCGGACCTCTGGCTGGCTCTGGCGCTTGAGTTTCGAACCCGACGCCGGGAAGTGAAGACGGGGGGCAGAGATGACAGCACGCCGCTCTTGGGCCAGACCGCTGCTGCTTTGTGTCGTGGCACTCGGGGTGTGTGTGGAACCCACCGCGGGTTCCCAGGCTGTGCGAGAAGGAAAGCCAGTGTGTTGTGCCGCGAGTCCCTCCAGTAAGTTCAATCTCGAGCGTTCCTCTTTCTCGGGGGAGAACAGCGCAGGTTCAAGGCTGCCTCGGAGCCTTCCCTTTCCGCCGCAGCCCTTCATGGGGCTGATGGGAGATGCTCTCCGCCTCCTGTTTTTCGGTCCTCTTTGCAGGCCAAGACTTGGGGAAAATCCGGCTTTTTCCAAAGGGCAGTGTTGAATTGGGGAGTGTTGAGAAAAGGGCCACAAGAGCAGAATCCGGGGTCCAGCCACGACAGTGCATTAGATTCGCACCCGGTTCCTTACAGATTCCTAAGTGGACATGCCCAAAGTCTGAGAGCTGGGACCCTTCTTAACGGGGCCTGTGGGTCAGGACGCATGCGAGAGCGGCCAGGTGGCCGTAGCCACGGCCTTTGTCCTCCCTTTTGCGGCCTAATCTGTGTTTTCCCCACGACAGCGGAAGCCCCGAAATCGTGTGACTCCTGCAGCCCTGGGACGTGCTGTGGGGACAAATGGTGCGCCTCGTGTCGGAAGCTCCCCAGATGCCAGGAGGGGGAGAAGCTGTACTGCTCAGGTAAGCTGCGGTCCTGCCCTCTTTGCACCAGGATGCTGAACTGGAGCCCAGGACGCCTCTCCACATCCCAGCCCCCTCTCTCGGTGGACTGCAGGGCGCAGAGGCTGGGCTGGGGGCCTCTCAGGCCAGGACACCCCTAGCCGGACCGTCCCCGGGGGGGGGGACCCTGAACGGATGAGCTGCAAAAGCACCGTGCTGGACCTTCTCTCTCCCCCTGGCCCCTAATTTTCCAACCGAGTGGAAAACGCAGAACTCTGCTGGTTCGGCGCTCGGCATTTGGCTCTCAGAAACTCAGTTGCTTTCGGGTATTGAATTTTCGCAAGCCTTTAGAAAAGGCTCGGAGAGTCCTCTTTTCAATTTAGCCTTTCCCAAGGCATGGTTTTATTGTTTGGACTGCTTTTGGTGCAAGGGGGCAGAGTTTGGACCCCTGTGGGGTTACCCCAAGCTCCACTCCAATGGCAGAAAGCTGTACCCAGGTGCCTGACTGCCCTTGGAGGGGGCCTTTCGGGGTGGGGTTTCAGCAGGCTGGTTGGGGAGGAGAGCGGCTGTGCTGGCCCCTCAGCCTGGGGCAAAACACGAAATGCTTTGCAGGGCGCAGGGTGTTAAAGCCACTGTGGCCGTCACTCGGCTTCTGCCCAGGATTCCCTGAGAACGTTGGGGCTGATTCCAAGCTTTTATTTTTGATTGCACAGCTCAATGGTCATTACCCAGATCAGGAGATCTCCAAATGTTATTACTTGTCTGTCTTTATATATTCACTGTTTAACATGTTTGCATCGCCTGTATCTTACCCTGAAAGGAGGCTGCAAAGCCTTTTAAGTCTATGAACTAACCTCCGCTCGCTTCCTCTCCTAGGCACGACCGATTTCAGGTACTTCTGCAAGCCGTGTCCAAATGGAACCTTCTCAGACCCCAAAAAGGAATGTTGTACCCCTTGGACAGAGTAAGTGTGTGCCGTTTTGTGTCTCGGTGTGTGTCCAGACTGGGCATGGGGGAGGCAGCATCCAACGCTCTTGCTTCCTGGAAGCGTGGCATCCGCTTCCCATGCAGCCTTCATGGGGTTTGCAGGAAGTCGTGCCCACCGCTTGGGTCAATCCACAGACAGAAAATGGTCTGCTTGGCAGGGGGATGCCTGTGCCGTGACGTGGTTTGGCCACTAGGGGGCGTGGCAGCATAGGGAAGGGGACACGGGTAGGCATGATGGGGCAAATGCCCAGGGCTCACAGCTCAGCAGGGCCCCTCTGGCGAGGGCCCCTGAAGCAGCTGCTCCGCATGCCACCTGGTCGCTCATTTGCCTCTGGGTCTGGCCGAGACCCCAACCCTCTGGTAGCTCCAGGGCTAAAATCTATTTCAGAGATATTTAATTTGGGGAAGGGGCATCTGGGGCTGGGAAGGGTTCTAAAATCCCAAACAAAGCTACTGGCATATTGTATATTTCATGAACTTCCAAGCAGCTTTCATTCCATCCTTGGCAGAATGAATCTCTCTCTCTCTCTGTCTCTCTCTCCTTTCTTTCTTACTTTTCCAAAATTCCATCTGTAAGTGAACATGCACATTCCTGAAAATGCAGAAAAGCTCCCTGAAATAGGCTGATCCTTCTAAAAATGCATCTTTTCCTGCTTTAGCGTAAGGGGAAACGTGCATTTTGGGGCAGTGTTTTTCTTTTCTATTTTGTGTTGCCTCGCCTATACTCCTCTTAAAAACGGCCTGCAAGTCTGCTGAACTGCAGGAATTGGGGGGAGTCCGATTTGTGGGTTTATTAGAGTCCGCCACAGATTTCTACACCGTTTCTCATGCAAGCCCCGGCCCGCAAGTGGAACCTGCCAGGTTAGGGAAAGGTCGCGGGACTCACTGCAGCCCTTGCTAATCGTTCATGTTCCACTTGTAATTCCTCCCTGCTCCTTTTCTTTCTGCCTTCCTGTGTAGCTGCGAACGGGCTGGATTACTTACTGTCCATCCAGGGAGTGCAACCCGCGATGCGCGATGCGGCCGGGACCGTGTCATCACGAAACAAGAAGGTATTGCTTTGTTTTATTTTGGAAAGAGACGTGCTTTATATATGGATATTAGAATGGGATGGCGGGGGGGAGAGATGCTCTGCACCTCCCTGCGTCCTCTCTGAGAATTAACCTTGCTCAACCTTGCAGGGCTGTTGTGCAAACAGCGGATTTTACAAAGCCCTCTTTTTTTGATAGGCCTGATTTGCAAGAGGCAAAAGGGGGGGAGAGGAAGGATCCCTCGTTTTTCATGGAGGGGAAGCAAGCTTCCCACAATTCCAGGGAGGGCATCATACGGCTGGCAGAGTTAGGCGTTCGGCAGGGCGGCAGCCACCAAAAGCCCCTTGCCGATGCGAGCAGAGAGTGAATGAAAAGAGCTTGAAAAGCAAAATAAATGTGAAATTGCAGGGGGTTTTGAGCCTGCCTGAGGGAGCTGGAAGTTAATCTGGGTCTAATCTGGTTCAGGTTTAGGAGCAAGTGCTGAGACAGGGACTTAGCGGTGCCGGATGGCCAGGGCTGGAGCGTTTGGCGCGTGAGCACCGATCTCTCTCTCCTGGAGCAACAGGGCAGCATCCATTCCAGGGGCATTTAAATGTAGCTTCCCCCAGTACCCGCGGCCCTAACTGCTCGCTCGATTTTTTCAGAGCCCTCCCTCGTGACTTTCTTGTTCGTCCTGACGTCGGTGGGAATCGGTCTCCTCGTCCTCCTGACTTTTGTCTTAGTCGTCTGTACGTGGATGCAGAAGGAGAAATTTCCTTTGGAGGCAGGTCGGTACTGCTCTGAACTGGGGGGCTTCCCGGGATTGCCCCGTCACGAGTTGGGGCGCCTCTGTTGGCCAAATTGGGCAGCCCTGGCCCAATTTCCTTGCAAAACATTCTGTATTGCTCCCAAGTTGGAGTCACCCAGAACAGATCTCTGAGCATGCACAGAGCGGTTTGTTGGGCCCAGTCTAGCGACTGTCTGCAGAAACGCCCCTCATGAGCATCCCTGGGCCCCAACCCTTGGCACAGCATCCCCCAGTCTCTTCCGCCCAGTTCCCACCTGTGGCAAGCCGCCTGGCTTGTTCTCTTCACTGGAGGTCTAAAGGGGGCAGGGGCAACTTGCAGGCTTTGGCTGGACGTAATTCGGCCCCTTAGAAAAGTGTCTCAGAAAAGAGCAGCGTGCCCATCGCTTGCCATCCTGCTGGGAGGAGAAGCAGCAGGCGGGGAGGAGGAGGTGGCAGAGAGACAAGGAAGGAAGGAAGGAAGGAAGGATGTGGGGTGGAAAGAGGGAAAGAAATGGGCCCCAGAGCAGAGAGAAGGCGCCAAGGGGCTGCAGAGAGAGAAGGGGCAGAGGAGACCGAGGGAGCCGGGAGAGAAGCAGGGATGCTGCCCAATTCCAGTGTCAGTCCTTCCCGCAACTGGCAAGGGCCCCGGTAAATTATCCTTGTGGGAAAGGAGGCTCCGGATTTGGCTCCTTGCTCTATCGCAAGGCTCCCTGTGGCGACTGAGTGTGTGCCATGGGAGCAATGCCGTGCCTTCCGGAGGGCCGCCTTCTCCACAAAAGTTTGGCCTCCGGCTGCCGGAGCCTTCCAGCGGGAGATGCCGGGGCTCGAACGCGGGGCCTCCTGCCGCTGAACTCCAGCCTTCCCCCAGTGAGCCCGCCCCCTTCAGGGCTGCTTGAGGCTTCCTCCGGGGCTGGCCACCGCTCGCAGAGGACACGGGCCCCTCCAGGGACCAGCCGGGGTCGCAGCAGCAGCGCCGCCCTGACCCCCTGCCCCTTTCGTCCCACAGAAAGCGAGGCTGTCTACGTGCCGGAGTGCGTGGGGTCCCAGCTGCTTCATGCCGACGCCTGCAGCTTCCAGTTCCCGGAGGAAGAACATGGGGACAAAATGCCGGAAGAGACACCCTCGCTGAAGTCCTTGCCACACTGAGGAAGGTCTCCTAGGCCGATTTAATGAAACACACCATCCGGCCTTTTGGGGAGTGCCACCGCCATCTCCGAATTGTCTCCCAGAAGAACACAGCTGCGTGTCTTTAAGGCGTGTGCATTGGGTCGGTTTGCGGGCGCGAGCTGGTTGCCAGCCTTCGCTCACCACCGTTTTCGCAGTGCCGCTCTGTCTCTCACCTTGCCGAAGGGGTCGGGGAGGGGGAGCGGCTTCTCCAGATGCGGCTAGAGAGTAAACAATGCGAGCATCACATAATCTCCCTCATTGCACAGGTAGGAGCAATCTGGGCCCTTAATCCCCGAAGCCAAAACTTCCACCGGATTGGATGGAAGGATGGAGACAGCCTTTTCGGAGGAGTCTTTTTACTCAGGCAAATTTTGAGCATGGCCAGCAGAGGTGCGCTGGGGCAGACGCCCGGAGGATCCAGCGGTTAAAGGGAGAAGCCAGGTGGAGTTAAGCGGACCATGGGTGGCGCTTACTGGTCTTTTATGCCTGAGGCCTGCTTACCTGACGGAAGGCGCTTTTGCCAGCCAGGTCAAGGCTCTGCGCTTCTATTGAGCAGCTCTATCCAGATTCTTGGGTTCCAACACCCTCCTTTTTAAGACTTCTTGTCTAGGTCGGTTGCAGAATGCTCCTTTAATTTTCGGGGAGAATCCCTTTTCATGCTTGTATACAAAAATAGAAACTCAGCTTCGGAGGGGCGAAAGGGGGAATTTACTGGATTTTCTGCGTTCTGATGGGCCGTGGGCAGCGCGGTCTAGTGCAGCGAGAACTCTTTTCTGGAGGCTGCCTTGGGCATTTTCTGTTTTGAAAACTTGGGTGCTCTTTCTCCCCTTCTTCGCCAACGGTGCCATGAGGCACCAGAGGAAGTTGCTTTCATCACGGCGGTCTAATCGCCAGCCTCAAAAGGCTTTGCTTTATGCAACGCCCATGTTTCGAACTGCGCTTCCTTTGCGAAACCTGAATCGGAGCTTTTTTTATAGTAAAGCAGTAAGTATGCCAACACCGTGCCTTCTTTCTTTCCTCCTGCGACTTATGAAGAGAGAGGAAATGGAATTTGTGTCTGTTGCGTAGAATGAGCTCATGGGGATGGCACTTTCTCTTTCGTGGTAGCAGCCGCCAATTGAAAATGCACGTCCCTAAATTGCGCTTGGCCGCGGATGGTGACTCACTTCCTTGGGGTTTCCCCTTGAATTTGGGGGTCAATTTACGAGAGACTTTCAGGGCAAAGTTATTTGGTGTACAGAGGAAAATTGGGCAAGAGTGTGTCTTTTCCCCGGAAGCCTCTTTCCAGTCAACTAGTGCTACCCTCCAAGCAAACGCCCAGTTCTGCCCAATTTCTGGACCCATGTTTGTCTCAGTTACAGGGCTGGAATCCCACAGGGGTGAAAGCGGCCTGATGAAACCCTTTTCTCGTGCCAGCAGTGCGGTTCTCCTATGAAGCTGGCAAGTGGGGAATTCAGGGCAGGTACAAGACAGTCCTCCTTCACACAACACTGCGAAACACTGGAATTCGCTTCCACATGCTGTTGCGACGGCCACCGATTTGGAAGGCCTGGCTTCCTATTATTCATGCGCCGTAGCTAATGCAAGATCAGGATGTTCTGCATTGCCTGCTAAGCTACAGCGATAACTCCCCCCACACCCCCCAGTGTCAGCCATCCCCTTAACCCTTCCCATCACACCTTGGAGATCGATGGAATGGTGTATGGAAAACCCAGTATCCTCAGGGGTAAAGCTCGATCTTCAAAGGGGGCAGATTGGCCCCTTGACCTGTTTGCGCTGTTTCCTTTGCAAGAAATAGGTAGGTTTTTGTACAGAAGGGCTTCACCACATCATAGATAAGGGGTTATTTTTTCTGGTGGTCCTTTATAGGAAAAAGAACGAGGGCTTTTCAAATACACGAGTGATCTTGGTTTAGGAGCCGCGGTAGGCGACCTTCGTATCCTCCGGGATCGATTCGCCGCAGCTTTGGTGGAGGAGCTCGGTAGCGTCCTTCCCGCCGTCCGTCGGGGTCTTCCCGTGAGTCACGAGCTGGCGGAGGGGTTTGCAGGTCTCCTGGGAGGCGGGGAGGTTGGGGGGCAGGTTGGACTGGAGGTGGAGGGAGACCATTTGCGAGCTGGTCAAGGGGCCGTCCGCCTCGTTCCCGCCGGGGGGCTGCATCTTGCTCCCAAACATCCTCTGGAAGCAAGAGGCGTAGGGCCGGTCCTTGCCATTGCCCCCGGCAGCCGCGGGTCCGCTCTCTTTCCCCCGGTCGTGAGCGCTCTCGTGCTTGTCCAAGGCAGCCAGGACGGGTTTGATGATGTACTGGTTGCCGCTGCTACAGACGGGGTTGCCCCGGAGGACCGCTTTCACCGACTGGCAGCAGCTGATGCCGGGGACAATGGATATTTGGATCTGAGGCATGGGCAAGGTGTTTCGGGAGACCCCCTTGCTGGGTGGGAGGGGGAGGCCCTCCGAAGGGCCGGAGGCTTCCCCTCTGGGCGGCTTCTCCAAGCTTTTGGCGGGCTGCTTGTCCGTCCCACGGCCGCTGCTGCCTGCCTGGGCCCAGTGGCTCCTCAGCGAGCGGAGGGAAGTCCTGCTCTTGGTGAGGTGGGGCGGCCCGTTGTCGGAGGCCAGGCCGTTGTAGAGCAGCGTGAAGTGGCACAGGGACTCCAGTGGAAGGATGTGCTGTGCTTTTTGGACCTTGGTGAATATCTCGATGGTCAGATCTAGGAAACGCACAGAGAGAGCTCGTGTCTCACCTGCCCAGGACAAAGAAACCCGCCCAGAAAACGTGCAACCCGGGAACTGGCTAAATGCGGCTCCTGCTGCGGCCGAGTGGCATTTTTTCTGCTCGGAAGACACGGCTCGTGAGGAGCTTAGAGGCCTTGGAGGTAGCAGTTGGGCGCTGGTTGATTTTGACGTGTGGCTGAAGGACGTGCCCCTCAGAATGTGGGGAAGGTCTCTTCCCCCCCTCCACACACACACCGCCTCCCGAACACCCCGAAAATGACATCAGGAAGATTTTGCACAATTTCTCCAAGGAGAGAAGAATTTCCCACCTGGGTACCTGGCCACCCACTGCTTCCTTTCCTATCTTAACATCTGTTTCCTTTCTGCCACACACGGGCCGCAGCGGAGAGACGCCTTTATAGTTGCCACCTAATTAGGCTGTCGGGCTGGTGGCCTCAGAAGGGTCAGCGGCTGAGTAGCAGGACTGGGAAGGCTGCTCGTTGCGCTGCGCTTGAACGGGGTGGGTCGGTGTGGCGGTCTGTGGCCTTTTCCGTACTTTGCCAAGGCGCAGCCAGAGGCAGCTGGCAGCTACAGGCAACATGGCATTGCTCCAGATGTGGGAAGAACAGCGGCCCCTATCTGAATACTAACTCATCCCACATCCTGGGGTAACTGGCACCCCCCGGCTCGCATTCTGTATTGCAGTTTACACAGAATTAGCCCTCCCCAATTTGTTCTTCTACAGCGTTGTCACAAAGTGCCTAGTCTAAAACTTTCCCAAATTTCAGCAGCTAGCTTTTTATGGTTTTCGTTCTATAAAGCAAAAATATCCTTGATACAAACCCCCCAAATTTGCATGCCAAGTTGGTTTTAGGACCTTTTTATGCCTGAATAATGGTACGAAAGAGGGTTAAGTACAGATCACCTCAATTTCTTTTGAAGGGAAAGAGTTTGAACTTTTAACCCTTCCAAAGAACAGAAGTACAAACCACTGAAGGAAAGAGTTGCTTTTTTCTAAGTTCGTGGCCAAACTGGTGTTGCGTGAGGTCACTGCATATCTGAGGAATCCCCGCCCAAAGGCCGCCTTCCGCTCAATATATGGGAGCCCCACCTATTTGGTCCTTCCATGCCGACAGGCCCTGCTCGTTCGTCGTTCATCCCAGCCCCACCATCCCAGCCTTCCTCTTGTCCCCAGGACCATCTGAACCTGCTTACCCAGAGTTTCGTTCACCACCGTGGGAACAATGTTCTTCAGCGCCCCACAGTTCGTGTGCAGAGCAGGGTTTGCGTTCATCTCCAGCAGCCAAACCTGCCAAAATTTCCTTAGGTCAGGGGTTCAGAGCATCAGTCCAGGGGTACATATGAGACCCTCAAAATTCCACAAGTTGCTGAGTCCACCTGCCCGCCCTTTGGTCTGCCCAACTTTAGTGAAGTCCTTTAGCCTGACCCCATTTTAAATTCTTGAAGCGTCTCTCTGAAAAATTGATCTTATATCCCCTAGAGAGCATCGAAGGAAAAGATCCTCCGTGGTGCCTGAAACTCCCCTTTTTATGCCCTTCCCCACTCTCAAATTACCCGCCCATAATGCAAAGTGAAACAGGACAAAAACAGGGGGGGCAAAGTTGAAGGAGCCATTTTTGCTCCGTTTTAGTGTAACTTCAAGACTTGCACCAACAGCTAATGCCAGAAGAGGGCAGAAATGGCAAAGCCCCCACAAAACGGTCCTCTCCTCCGCTCAGAACCAGACTTTTCTCCAAAGGACGTTAGATTTTGCTGCAAGCTTTTTGTCTGCCACTAGGGGGAGCTAATGCCCTGCCTATATTCTCTTGCTGGGGAAAAAGAACAGAAAACCAGAATTTTCCATTTTGAAAAGCAGACCAAGAGGGGAGCAGACTGCCAGCCAGCTTCTCCACTTTGAGAAAGTCTGGCCCATCTGGAAATCAAACCCCAGATAGAGATCTCGGAGAAATCCAAAGTGGATCCAATACATCCAAATATCTATCACTTCGACTGGAAGATGCCCTCGCTCCAAATGGGCTTTGTGGATTAATCAAAACGGGATTGGCTTTGTAGCATTGTGACCCCAGTGTGCTCTCTGGGTGATTCTTAACTGGCTGACACACAACTTTTAGCCAAGGATTTGAACAAAAAACAACAGAGGTGTTGCTGAGTGCATGTGGCCCAACCTTTCCACTTGGAATTTCCCCTAAACTTAATTAAAGGGTGAGTGTATGGGGCCACCGTGTAGGTCCATTCCCAAGAGTGAGCTATGCCAGCAAGGGGCACAAAAATCCCCCCCCCAGCTTCATTGTCCTCCAGGTTCACCCTTTCCACCCCACATGCGACTCTCCTCAATTTTCCCGCAGCTTGGGCTGCAGGAAGCAGAATCGGGGCCTTAGACCCCCATGGGCTCAACCTTGTGGCACCCCAGCCTGGCAGGGATGAAGAGATGAGAGAAAGAGTGCTGGTTTGGGGCATCTTTCAGCCCTTTTGGGAACAGCACAGTTCTCCTTCGGTACATCTATAATTGCTGTTGTTCACACTCCGATAGAACAGATAATAAGCGCGCCAGATCTGCTGAGGGAACAATCTGACGGAGACGTCAATAATACTCCGAAATCAGGATTCTGCGGAGGCAGCCTTTCCCTCTCTGCTCCTTCGCAGATCGGGCAGACGCCCCGTTTGGCCACCAAGCCGTGGCACATGGGACAGGGAGGGAAGGAGGGTGGAGTGACACTGCTCTTTGCTCCTCCTGGGGCTAATCTCGAGACCACGGAGAAGCGTGGGTGCAGCGCGCTCAGGCTAGCCGTGAGCGGACGATTTGGCTTCAGATCTGGAAGTGGAAAGTATCCCATGTGCCAGTCTGGTTCATGGGCCATCGGCTACTGAGTGACACCTTGATATTAATACCCTAATCATAACAACAGCAACAACTCTGCACAGCTATCATTTGTCATAACCTTTTTGAGAGAGACAGACAGGTGTGGATGCGTGGATGGGAGGGGTCTTTCAGCCTTCCAGGGCATTGTTTGTCCAGCTAAGCTTTTAATTAACCGCGCAGGGAACTGCCACAAAAGAGCGACATCAGATCTCCTGCCAGAGTTGAGTTGCCCCCAGCTGGAGCTTCGGAGGCCAAGTTGGCTGGGCAAAACGAGACGGCACCAGACTGGGCCTCTGGCTCGGCTCGTGTTCTCCCCGGGAAGTTCCCGTCCTGCATAAAGGACGGGGAGGGGTCATGCATTGGCTCCAGGACCCATCAGCATCTGCTGAGGTTGTGCTGGGGCTTGGGTGTTTGCACTCCGCCTCTCAGGAGGCGTCGGATCTGGGCCTGGCTGACAAAAGCCAAGCGGGGCTGGTGGTTGTCTTACAGGAGAAGGATTCGGGGACTAAATGGGGTTTTTCTTGGACACAGACTGAAGACGAGTTGACAAAGGAGCTCTCCACAGTAGCAAGCCCGTCCGCCACCTTGGAGAGCTCTTTTAAAGTTCAGGCTAGACTCTTTAAAGTTCAGGCTAGACTCCGGAGTGGATACACGTCCCTGCTGATGCTGGTGATGCTTTCCACTTGGTGCAGTTCCCTGCTTTGGCCACAGCAGGGCGGTGGCTCCCAGGCTGAGCCCCCTTTTGGCAGGGAAGATAATTGGTGGAGCTCCTGCTTTGCAGCCAGAAAGCCCCAGGTTCTGCTCCTGGCATCTCCATCTGGGAGAACACTGAAGATCTGCTAGCAGACAGTCCAGATACTGGCCTGACCTTGCATAAGGCGCCTTCCTAGATTCCTAAATTTATGTGCTTTTCCTAACCCAGTTACTGCGTTCGGACCACAAGGGAGAACAACCCAACAACAGGCCATGGGCGCCCTTTGTGGGTAGTTCCTGGTTAACAAACCACGGCTTGTTCTCACGGCTGCATTCAGACATTATAACCCACATCTGAGGAACAATCCATGGTTCGGTGGCAACCCACACTCTGCCCTTGCCTCTTCTCCCAGCGTACCTTAAAGTCTTCATCAATCAAGAAGTCGCACCCGATGAGGTCAAAATAGCCCAGCTTGCAGTCCAGTTTGGACTTGACGGCCAGAAAACATTGCAACATGATCTCCTTCATTCGCTTCTGGAAAACACAGGATGGCAGCAAGTTGGGGGGGCATTCCAGAAGCTTCCCTCTTCCTGTGCCTTAAAAAAATAGTAAAAAGTCTCCAAACCTTTTAAGCAGAATAAACCAGCAAGTAGCACGATTCTCACATTCAAATTAGCACGCCAGCCCCTCCTCAGCTCACAACCCTTTCACATGTGTTTGCCCGGACACCTGTTTTATTCTATTCCCCCCCCCCCCAATTTAAACATATCTGCATGCAAATCTGCACCGAGAGGCAAGCTTTTATTCAAACGCATCGTCTCTCCAGTTTAACGACATGCTTTCTCTCCAAAGACTCATTCCCGAGGGTACTTGTGCATTTCGGGGGAGCCACGAACGGCGGATTCAACAAAAGCCGTTTTCTCCAGCAATTCTCTGCGCTCCGCTGGATTGCGCCGTTCTTGAAAGAGCCGCTTCTGCTCGTTTGGAGTTAATTTTAGCCGCGTTACATGAGCCGGCGCTTTTGCAAGGGCACAAAGAGACGCTGCCCCAGCGTTTGTGAGCATTTTTCGTGGTAGACTGGCAGGGTGTTCTCCTTCATTTCCCAGAAGGCATTTGGGCCTTCCTTCTCCTCCTCAATGTTATATCATCACCATCATCAACAATAACAGCAATAATAATAATAATAATAATAGTATTAATGCATTCAGCACACTTTTTTTCCTCTTGCAAGGAACCCAAGCCAGCTTGCAAGCTGCTGCTCCCCACCACTTCATCCTCCCAACAACAGCCCTGCGAGGTAGGCTGGGTGGCGAGTCTGTGTCTGGCCCAGAGCTAACCCATGCTCCCTGGCTGAGTGTGGACTAGAACCCGGGTCTCCTAAGTCCAAGTCTGGCTCGTGAGCCACACGACGAGTTGCCTCTCTCCGCACTGCCGTGGCTTGCGCAGCGCCTGCTCGCTCGCTCACGGGTTATGGGGTCCTCTGGGGTGGCTGCCCAGAAGCCCCCAGATGGGGAAGGTGCCGGGCGCCCGGCGGGAGGCGGGCGCTGCTCACAGACCTCGACGCCTGGGCAGCCTCCACGGCGTTGCTGCGAGAACTTCCTTCTCTGTGGCAGCGACCAAGATGGCCTCCATCTTTGGTCCCAGCGGCCCTGGAAGGGTGGCTGCGAGGGCCGAGGGCCAAGGGAGGTGCCGGGAGGCCCAGCTTTTCCTCACCCCACATTTCTTTCTGTTAAAGTCCCCCTATTCACCCTTCAATAAATGGGTGTTTTGTGACTGGCCGTGCCCACCACGTTGCTGTGAATAGCCGCCCCTCACGGCAGCCATTTTGTGAGAGCGCCATCCCTCACGGCAGCCATTTTGTGAGAACGCCATCCCTCACGGCAGCCATTTTGTGAGCGCCATCCCTCACGGCAGCCATTTTGTGAGAGCGCCATCCCTCATGGAAGCCATTTTGTGAGTGCGCCCTCTGCCCGCCTGCAGAATTACAAACACCCCCCCCGACCCCCAAAGGTGGGGCCCGCACTGTATATGCCGAACATCGTTTTTGGGGTTTGCTTCCAGCGTGTATTTTAAACTCAGCCATGCTTCACCCACTGTCCAAACAAGCTCCCCTTCAATGGATGAAGCCGCTGAGGAGGAGGAAGGCCGGCCCCGAACGCCCGTCTTGCAGTGTAGGCCACTGCCATGCGGGGCGGAGAGGGCGACACTCACGGTAAATCCGTTGAAGACCCAGTCCTTGGGCAGCCCCTTGGCTTGTCTGAACTTCTCGTTGACGTACTGGTTGAAGCGGTCCATTTGCCACACCGTCTCTTCCTTCACGAGGGCATAGATGGGGCTTTTCTTCTGGACGTACTGAAGAGAGCGGGACAAGGAAGCCAAAACTGCCATTCATTCCTTCATTCATTCATTCATTATTGCAAGCATCTGTATCCCATCCTTCCGCACAAGCACTCAGGACAGCTTACACGGTATAAAATCCCGAAAATACAACGATAAAACCACACTTATTAATACATTTAAAATGGAACATTATGAACTAAAAAGGAAGAAAGGAAAAATAAAATAGGATTATTTTATTTTAGCCACCTAGAGATGCCGTGGGAGATATCGATAAATCTTTGAAGCACCTAAATAAATATCCCAGATAAGACTGCAGATCGAGCCTGGGCATGTGATACCGGAAAAAGTTGCGAACTCTTAGAATCTTTAAAAACATTTCATTGACAAAATTGTCACAACAGGGAAGGAAACAATGCCCCACCTCACAGATGGGGTTGCAGCCCAAAGACTTTCTGGAATATAGCACTCTTTGCCTGCTGTTGGAAGCACAGCTGGAAGGGAGCTGCAGAGTCCTGCGGCCCGGGAGCAACCACTAAAGAGGCCCTGCTTTGCATCGCCAGCAAATATGCTTCTGGCAGCGGGTCCCGTCAGGGTGCAAAAAGCCAAGAGATGCTGGAAGAATCCCCCAGAGATCCAAATAAGCGAATCTGTCCTGCAGACTTTGCCAAACACCAAAAAACAGACTTTTTCTGAGTCTGTGGACTTGCAGATGAGTATCTCGCTGGGGCGGAGAGGAGAGATGGGTTTGTGTGAATTGGCTTGCACATTCGCACGTTGCCACAACAGCACACGGATGCAATGCTGCAAACCTCCGTGTGCGTACACGCCGGCAGACATTTTGCATCCAAAAGAGTCCAACTGAATGTTAAAACCTGGTTCTTCAAACCTGGCGAAGGCAGAATGGAAGGCGGCTGGTAATCCGCAAAACGGAGACAGGAGAGATTTAACAAGCTCGCTGTGTCTCTACCCCATGGGGCAGAGAACAAAAACAGTCTCCTGCAAGTATCGTCGGGGGACGGGGCGTGTTCCCCCCCCCACCTGCTCAGGTGCGCTGCTTTGTTCTGCTCATCCCAACAGACTCGTGGATAATTCAGGCTCTCCGAACAGGCACACCTGTTCCTCCTTGCGATCCTTTGTGCCGAGCCTCCCCGGAGCCACAGAGGCGGTTCACTGCCTCCGGAGCGGTGCAAACAGCTCACTTCCAGGAAAATTAAGACAGTCCCTCGACGGAGGCAGAAACGGCAGAAAGACAATACGGAGCTGGGCCGGCAACTACAGATACCGCAGGTGTCTCCAGCTGCTTCTCCTTTTTCTAGAACTCTTCTTTGGAGCGGGGAGAGGGAAATTATAATTGCCCTCATAATGGAAACCCTGCAAAAGCACTGCCAGGTTGGACGCGGCATCGGTAATTTGTTTCCCAGCCAGCGAGAGATGAGAATCTGGTTGCAGTTCAGCTGTGATAAGAATTTGCCAGTATTTGCAGTGTTTTCCTACCAGGAATGCCAGCTTTTTCTTTCAAAAGGCCTGGGATTCAGGAGAAGCCGGAAGTGCCAGATTTGTCAGGCTCAGAGACTGGAGTGTCTGGTTCTTAACAATCGGGCTTGGCATCCATGTGTGTCCAAACACTGAATTAAGGCTGCCACCTTGTCTTCCTGTCAGGCTTTTCATCTGACCTCACTGTCTTTTTAGTTCCTGGTTAAAACTCCCTCTATTCCCAGGTCTTTCAAAATTGGCAGTGCGGGGGATACCACCAAGAAGGCCCAACCGCTGAGTCCCCCTTAGGGAGGGATTGTGGTGACAGAAGAATAAATATTGGAAGAAAAGTTGATATATGTATTTCCAGGTCATACTTGATTCTGGGTTTGGACCTGGAAAGCCAAATTTGGCTTGGGACCAGGCTTACTGAAAAATGCCTTTCCCTGTAGGAGCCTGTCTGAGTCTCAAGATCTTTGGGGAAAAGCTTCCTTTCCTCCGAGGCAGATTTGGTAACCCTATAAAGCAGAGACCACTTGGTTAGCTGTCCAAATGGGCAGCCTTCACTCCACCAAGAGGCCATGAAATCCTCCATTTCACTCTGCGTCGGGTGCTCTTTGTATGCCGTCAGAGTCGTGTCTCAATTTTCTTGTTTTATTATGGCCTAGATGAAGCTTCGGTTCTTTCTGAACATAGGAAAATGGTAGAGAAAAAATTGAAGACGTACACTCTAGTCTGCAGATGTTTTGACACCCACTAGATGAGATGCCGGCTCTGGACTTTTGGGAGGTCCCAGAGATAAAACGGTCTTGGTGAGCTCCCACCAGAGCCGTCCTCTTTTCCGTCTGTTTGTGGCATTTGTGCACTGCTTGGATAAAATGGGATCCTTCCCTTCTTTGCATCTCTTCCTCACTGCAGTTTTGTCTCCGTCTCTTAGGCCACGGCGAATTTCAGAGTGAGAGAGCAAAGAGAACAAATTCTGCTTCTTCTCGTTGCTCACACGGCCAGGGAGCAATGGAAGGCACTCCTAGGAATGTGCAGAAGCTCTTTGGGCGGAAAACCACCGGGTTTCCTTGGTCCAGCCCCCCAGGTTCTGCTTTGCTGCCCGCACGGCTCCTCGAGGCTTGATGGGCCGCGATATTTGCAGAAACGTTCCACAGCTTTGCTCGCGAGGCACATGAGTTGAACGCCGCCGGCATCGTATGCGCAAACTGTGGTGTTTGCACGGGGGACTCACGGACTGACCCCCACGCCCCCACAGCACCCCTGCTCCCTCCACGCTCCCTCTTTCCTCACCTGGTTGGTCAGGTGAGAGGTGAGATCTTCGGATCTGGGGTCGTAGTTCAGGCACGTCAGACGAACGTATCCGTGGCCGAAGAACAGCACAAAGGGCACAGTGCAGGCGATGAGGAGGTAGGACCGGACGTCGAACTTCTTGCCCTCGAGAAGCAGTGGCTTGTCGATGTACCTGGGAGGGGGGAGGGGAGGCTGAGCAACCCCACGCGGGGGTATTAAATCCTAACAAACCTGTGCTATTGGGGGTGGCTGGTGACCCCGGCTCACTGGGGCGCCTTAGCCACACTGGACTTTGTAGGAGCTATCCCTGGTGAGCAGCCTACTCTGGGGACTGAGTTCAGCAGCATGGGTTGTGCCCGTAAGGCTCAGTGTGACAGCCGCCATGAATATGGAGCCCCGCCGGCACAGAACCAGCCTCTCCCGAAATTCGCCCTGCAAAGCACGCACGCACGCATGCAAGCTCGCTCGCTCGCTCGCGCTCTCTTTTCAAAATCTTTTGTCCGGGGCCAGCCGCAAGGTGGCCCTCAGACTGAAGGAGGTCCAGCCCCCCCCCCCGCCAAGGAGGGTCCCGCGAGGGCATCTCTCAGCAGCACGAACCTCCACGCTGCCTCATTCTCTACCTTTGCACGATTCTGGCCGGGGGGATTTTGTAGGGCAGCTTCTTGTACTGAGGGTCCTCCTCTAGGCTGTGGAGCTTGGCTTCCAACTCGTTGACTTCGGCCTGGTTCTTCAGCAGGAAAATCCCCCGTCCTTGGTTGGAGCTCGTGGGCTTGCAGATCCAAATCTGGGGTTCTGAGAAAGCGACATGGGGGAGCGCGAATGACCCATGTGCTTGACACCCGGCCGTTGGAGCTTGGATCTGAATCAAGGGGAATCCAAATTCCGCTGGCCCCTGTATTGTGGGCTTGAACCTTCCTCAGGCGGGCATCCTCCAGAGGTGCTGGACCCCCACTGCTATTATTCCCAGATCACATGCTGCCTGGGGATAATGGGAGCTTTAATCCACATGTATCTATAGTGTGCCATCTAAGGGAAGATCCCACAAGATCTGATGCCTTGACCTGCAACTCCCTGGGTTCTTCCTACCTCCTGCAGGCTGGCAGAATTAATGGAAGGATGGAACCGTGAGCACTTGGTTTTCATAGAACACTGAATATCTCTCAGGGGGAAAGAATTGAATACTGAGGCAAGGGGCTTATGGAATGGAGTAACTTGGGGAAGGGCATGGCTGGCTGCAACTCTGAACAGGATAACTCAATGTGGCAACATTTTGTTGAAGGTCCCTGTTGTGAGAAGATAACAGAGGACTCTTTTTCCTGGTTCGGCACTCGTGGGAGAGATCCAAGCTTGAAACTTATCTCATTCACCTGTATAGGTTTCAAAGAAGGATTCTCGCTCATCTTTGGTGTCCAGGCGGAAAGTCTCAGGGAAAAACTCTTCCATCATCAGCGTTCTGCAAAAAGCCACAATAATATGTTCAGCTGTGTATTTTTTTTCATGTGAGGATATGCAACGATTTGCGTGTGTGAAGGAGTCATCAGGGATCAAACTTCATGAGTGGATCTTTCTCATCGACTTGCACCCCATCTGGTGCAAGTTAGTCCTGGGAAGGCAATCCAGCTCAGCTATGCATCCCGGATGGATGGGCCTTCTCCCAGCTATGCTATCAGGCCAGCCAATCAGGGATCTCATTCTGATGACTCCATCCTCCCTGATAGCCCATGTTTGAAATTCTGTAACTTGTTGTCATTTGGATTCAGATTTTTGAATGTCAGCATTGCCTATTTTTAGTTCCTCTATGTTGCTTTTGTTTTCTTGTTGATTTAGCAAAATCTTATCTAAGATTTTTCTATATTAGGCTCTTCACCCCAGATATCTGATTATGCCTGTTAATCAGATACCTTTTCAACTAGCTTTGTTTTCCTCACCTTTCAAACATTTTTGCTCCATAACCTCTGGGTGGCACTATGGTATAGGAGAATACCACAACCACACCAGTGGGGACTTGGGCTTTTTGGGGAATGAAAATACTGCATTTTCCCCACTTTGAAGGAAGGAAGGAAGGAAGGAAGGAAGGAAGGAAGGAAGGAAGGAAGGAAATATCCTATGAAAATGCTCCTAAAAAACAGAAAGGAGGCTGAACGATCTTGACATTATCTAGATCAGCTGTAAACATCCATGAATGTGGAATGATAAACCTTGGGTAGAAAAGCTCCTGATTTACTACTGCTGAATGTTAAGGTAATAAGGAGATTAAATCAATTTGCCAGCGTTAATGTTTTCCAAAGCGTCGTCCCAGCGCTTCTTCCCGGCTTCGTAAAGCAAATCACATTTATCATGGAGAACTAGGTCCTGTCAGGGAGACAGAATGTGCAGCATTCATAAATTCTGCAAATAGGGCCAATTTGCATATTTTCTCTTATTTTGCATAATGCTGCAATATTTACTTGGGCCATTTTTCATAGTTTATTGGAGTTGCACTGGATGCTCTTAGGCAAAAATTTGCTGCACAAAAAGGGGCTCTTGGCAACCCTCATTGTTCAAAAGTTTGCTTTTCTTTGTTGATTGTTGCCTTTTCAGCTGATGAATCAGCAATCTCTCTCTCTACGCGCGCGCGCGCACACACACACACACACACACACACACACACACACACACACCTGTTTCTCATAATAGGATCCCACCCTATCAGGAATCACACTGGGAACATAATGATGTTGGAGTGCCAAACAGCCTGTCAGTTTTAGCTTTTTGGTGATGTCACAAAGAACAAATAAAGCCAATTCAGAGTGAAGGCAAGTTTCCTTTAACAAGTTACTCTTGTTCTTCCAGGGCAGTGGTGACGGGCCATGCTCGAACCCATGACAAGGTGCCCCCAGCATGATCTGTGGGACCATCTGCCAGCGTTCTCTCTTCTCTGCCTTAACTCAGGTAAGACAAATGCATATCTCACAGTGCTCAGAGCCCCTTCTGTCCACCCAAGACTGGCTCCCTTTTCCCACTGGCTTCTGGCTCACAGGCTTCTGATGCTCACAGCCATGAGGGCTGGAGGCACATGGTTTTTACTGGAAACGAATTCTGATTCAGCTTAAGAACATGAGAAGAGCGGCACTGGATCAGGCCCAGGCATAGACAGTGGCCAACCTCCTTGCCCAGAGGTTCCTACAAAGAGATGAAAACCTTCCTGCCCATGTTCCCCAGCAAGTGGTGTGCAGAAACATCAGACTAGTAGCTATGGATCGCCTTCTCCTCCATGAATTTTTCCAGTCCCCCTGTAAAGGCATCCATATCAGTGGCCCACGCTCCATCCTGCAGCAGTGAGTTCCACAGTTTAACTAGCCACGGTTGCAACAAGTCCTTCCTTTGATCTGTTCCGAAGGGGACGAGGCCACCCCACTGGCTCCCCAGAGGGATGAAATAGAGACATGTAGGGGACAGGTTAAGAGTAGGCATACAAAGAGCGTTGGGGTCTCACTTGCTGGCCCTGTTCATCTTCTTGATCACTCGCTCATACTCCCGGAGGTTCATCAGCAGGCCGATCTTCGTGGTGAGGACTTTGTTATTTGGGATCTGATAAAGAAGTTGCTCCCCTGCAGGAAAGGAAAGCCAAACGCCAGAACGGTGGGTGGTCCCACACACAACTCCCGACGCACGTGTGGAACCAGGAGTCGTGCCCAAACGCCCCCCCCCCCCCCCAGTTTTGCAGCCCGATTTCCCAGGCACTGAAATGAGGCAATGGCGCGCTTTCTTGCAAAGAGCGAAACACAAAAGGCTTCACGCCAGCCGTGGGTGCATCTGCCAATTTTAGTTTTTCTCGCTTTCTTGATTTTTCAATCTAAGATGCCGTTTATCACGAACTTTGACCATTTGTAAAAGAAGAAGTGGGTGCATGATAGCTGGAATTCATTCTTCTCATCTTTGCTTTTATACTCGCAGCTTAGCCTCAGCGGTGCACTTTAGCAGATGCTTCTGGTAAAATGCGAGCTATTTTTAGTGCTGTTTTCATTTGCTCTGTATTATTCGGTGCATTTTCCCCAGACGGATTCAGTGGAGAAAGGGCAGTATCATGTAGTGGTTAAAGTGCTGCACCGGCGTTCGGGAAGCATGGATTCAGTCCCTACATGGCCGTGATTTCCCATGGGGTCACTTTGGACTGTCCCTGACTCTCAACGTCACCCACCTCGCAGGGTTGTTGTGAGACTCAGTGAGGCAAATCCATTACAATGTTGAACTGGGACCCAGGAGATCTGGCTAAGAAACCCACAGGGGGGTGATTTGGCCTCGGCACTGACTTTCTGCCTCACCTACTTCACAGAAATCTTATTATTATCCCTATTATTTATTTATTTGGGATACTTGTATGCCGCCCCATTCGCATAAGCCTCGGTGCGGCTTCCAACAAATAAATAACAATACAAAAATATAAAAATTGGACACATCCAGGTAATAAATAAAACCAATAAATAAATTAACAATTAATTAAAATAACATTTAAATAAAAAAGTCTTGGCCTGGCGCCGAAAAACAAATAACGACAAATAATAAATAAATTAATTTCACTTCTGTTTGGCCCAGGAGCCAAAACTGTTGTTACTGAATATAAAATGGCAAAGAGGAAGGATTTTCTGCAATTCACCTTGTAGGTAAAGAAAGTGGCTTACAAAGATGATCAATGCAAAATTTTGGATGCAATATTTTGGTGGGAGAACTCAACTAGAAACCAGAAGCATGTGCATTTCAGAAGCTTGCTCAGTTTTCGTGTGCAATTAGAGAAGTTTGCATGCTGGAGGAAGCTGGTTGGGACCAACGCTGCAAAACGAAGTCATCTTACGCCAGATTCACGCACAGCTGCCCAGACCGGAGGAAAAACTCTGGTGAGAGTTTTGCTAGGCCGAGTCTCCACCCAACTCACCTTCCCGGAAATTGTAATAGGTGTCCCGAAACTTGGTCTCACACCATTTCAGGATAAAATCCTCCCTCCGGTTGTCATAGATCCGCTGCCACCCTTTGCTTTTGCAGTAGACATTCAGTCTGCAAAAGGAAGAAAAGCTGTTGGCCCTTTCTTCGTCCGGGCTTGGCAAAATTCCCGCAGAAGCTTGGCACACAAGGGCGAGTGAGTCCTAAGATCTCGAATTCCTGAAGAATCTCATCCCAGGGGAATATGGAAGCACTGGCTCCAAAACTGCGGAGCGGTGGGGGATGAAGCTTCCCCCAAAAGGTCGGCACGGTTCTCCTGTGCCTCCATTGTTGGAGGGCAAAGCTTGAAGTTCAGTGTTTCTTGCGTCTGGGGAGCCCGGCTCTTCCCTTTGGACTGTCCCACCATTGGAAGGCAAACTCCAGGAGTTTCTCCGGCCGGAAGTTCAGGCCAAGAGAGGTTTTCCATCCCCATCCTGGGCAACCAGAATGCCCTGCCCCTCTTCCGGATCTCTGGAATTAGGGATAGAGGATGAAAGGATTATAGATATGGTACAAGGGGCCCAACTACAACTGGGAGTCCAATCTGTGTTGGCGATGTTTGGTGAGCCAGCCTAACTAAGCCCAGACCTGGGGAACGCCGGAGGACAGAAATGCCAAACAAAGGGAGCAACCTTACATATCAACTCCATTGGCTCCTCCAAGGTAAAAGAAAGGCCCCGATCCGGGGGCTTCGTCCGGCTTCTTCTCTTCTGGATGGTTCATTCGGAACGGTGCCTTCTGAACTCCCCTGGTCTCTTTGCATCTGCAGTCGCTGGCTGGTTCCCCTTCGGATAAGCTGGGAGTGCCTGGAAGAAAAACGGAAGTGGAATTTGGATCGGAGGGCGGAATGGCTCCTGGAACTGGGGACGCTGCTGTGGATGATGGTTATTGTGGCTGAGGAAGGGGCCATGTTGAAGACGTCTGTACTGGATCGCAGCCTGAAATGAAGCCAGCGTCCCTAATGTAAGAACAGGTGGATGTGTGCATTTCGCCCAAAGACTAACATGCGAAAATGGTGCATTGCGGCAGATTTTCGTATTCCGAATGAGCAATCCTAAACCCATTTGACGGTGGAGATGGAAACAAATATGGAAAAATACAGGGACCTGCCATTTCAGATTCTCGGGGAGGTGTGACCTGGACTGTCCACATCCAGGACAGGTCCTCATTGGACCTTTCCTGGCCCAAAGATCCGATTCAGCATAACGCCATTCCATAAATTCAGGCTGTGAATGACCCTGAATGTTATTTTCCCAGAGCCAATTTCTGCTCCTCTCTCCCACATGCTTGCCCTCCGTCGTGACTCCGATCAGGCTGGTTGCAAGCCTACCGAAAGCTTATCAAGTTTCACGGAGCCCAAAGGGAAGCAGAAATCTGCTGGGAAGGCAAGGAAAGGGGTTGAGTCCAATTAATTGGGTAGGGGAAGGGTCAGAGCGGCTGCGTGGCTCGAAGCGGCGGAGAATTGGCTGGGAACTAATTGGCCCATGGCTCAGTCACGCTCTCCCAGCCTCCCGGAGGCCCTTTCGGAGAGGAAACCGACTTTTGTTTAACCTTACAAAGATGGAGTGAGCATCAGCGTCGCAAAGAGCTCTGCCATTAGATGCTGAGTCCGGCAAGTTTTGCAGTGAACCAGAAGCATCGCTTTCCTGCTAGGAATATTTTCCCCCTAAGTCTTCAGTTCAGTACTTTAAACTCTGGGCCACGTTCTAAAATTGCAGTGAAAAGAGAGCCAGTGTCACCTAGTGGTTAGAGCACTGGGCTAGGACTTGGAAGATCTGGGCTCAGTTCCCCACTGGTTCCAGATTTTGGGCCAGTCTCTGCTTCTCCGCTGGGTTTGAAAATATGGTTCCCATCAGCGAATTAGTAGCTGAAGATGCAACGAATGCTATTTAATTATCTTCGCCTGAGGATGGCGGCTATTCACGCCTTCAGGCAGCGGTGCTGAGCCTCTGGCCCACTGAAAAAGTTGGTATTTGAAATATGGAATGTGTTGGTGTTTTCCCCCACCCCTTTCGCTGTGGGTCTCTCACTGGTGTCTCATGGCCCTTGCAAGCATCCAGTCGAGTTCGATGACCCACATGAACCAGCCCCACTGCAAGGCCAAATGACTTGAAAAGGAGGAGAGCAAAGCGCCTACTCTTTCTCTTCTGGGCCTGGAACTTGCTCAGCCCTTGGTTTTCGTGCACAGACTTGTCTCTCCGGCTTGCTACACACTTGGAATCTGCAAAGGAAAAACAGAAACCAGTCTCGTTCAGTGACACTCTGTTAAGATGGGAAGGTGGATTGTGAAGGTAGCCAGGACGGCTGGAGGTGTCGGAGAAACCCACAACCAGTCCGGATTTCTAGGACTCCCACTGGCAGATTCTGCTGGAGGAGGGCCTTTCCCAAGCACTGAGAATCCTGCAGAAGCGCATGCTTGGAGCGCATTCATGCCAGTGCGCCTTTAGGGCAATGGCTTGGAATTCTGTAAGAAAAATAATAAGGTCGGATTCAGTGAATGAGTGGATGATGGAACTCTTCCTTTAATTTAGACAGATTCCACAACATCTCTAGGAGGAACGCATGCTGACCTTTTCCAAAATGGAGCAGCGCATCACCAAAAGCGGCAGAGGCCTTAGAGGATGTATATTTGAATAGAATTTGCATGTGCGAAATTCATACGTGCAAATGCAGAGGAAGAAATCATGGTTATAATGTAAGATAGAAAAGCAGTTACGAGTATTGATGGGAGGCCAGTTTTGAGCTCACCGAAATACCCTGAAAGTCACTTCAAAGTTCCTTCCATCTCACTCCCATTTTTGGTTCTGACCGGGGTTTCAGTTTGTTTCAAAATGAAAGCTGTACATTTCAAACAGGGAAAGTGTGTATTTCTGGGCGTACTTTCCCTGCACTGACTAAAAAGTGAAAGGGTGTTTTTTCAATGCACATTTCAAAGTGTTTTTTAGTTTAAAAACGGTGCATTTTTCAAAGGTAATGCAGCTTCAGATCTTTGCAAATATTTCAGGAAAAAGCTTCCTGCTTGCATTCATGCTTTGGATTGCAAAAAGGACATGTTTAATTGATTTGTTTCCAGAAAGGAAGTTTTCAATGTCCCTTCGTATCATATATCTGAGTAGAAGAGAGATCATCCATGCAACCTGGGCAATTTCTACATAGAAACTGAGCGAGTCAGAAGGGGTCTCCCGGGCCATCTAGTCTGACCCCCAGCTCCAGCCGGCTCCGCTCACGACATTAATCTTTAAGCCAAATGTTGGACCAGGCAGCTACATCGATAAGCATCAAGTAAGCAACCAGTTCCCCTCCCTGTTTTAGATTCCAACAACTCCCATAATCCCCAGCCACCCTGCCAAAGGGCTGGGGATGATGGAAACTGTAGTCCAGGAAGGCCAAACGCCTGGCTAGCTCTGAAAAACAGGAGGCCTCCCCAGAGAGGACACCCCTTGGATGACCCTTAAAAGAGAGGACTGACCATGCAAAGTGGGACTGGTTATTGGTGCTGTACGCCTCCCACGTGCCGGTAAACCAGCTTTATCTGAGGAGTGCAGATTCCGCCGTGGAGGCTTGTTTCGCTTTTGGTGGTGTGGTGCTAATTGGCATCAGCGTAAATGTCCCCTCGCACAAGTTAATTGGCGTCAATTCACAGCAACTCATTTCTAATTCATGCCTTACTGGAGAGAATCGGCGCAGATAGAATTAGCACACGTCGGACGAGATTCTGGATGAAAACCTCAGAATCTGTTACCAAGCAGAGATGCAAAAATAGAGGCTTCACAATCTGTGAACCACAAACGGAACGAAACCTGCTTTTGCCGTCTGTTCCACGGCGACGAACCAGCTGCCCATGGAAAATCCAACAGCTCTTTCCAGCCCATGTTCTCCAGCAACGGTTGCGCACAGGCACACTGCTTCTGGCTCTCCCTCCCAACCTCCTGAGATGAGCCCCTTGTGTTCCAGTGTTAAAACCGGGGGGATCTCTCTCTCTCTGCTTGTGGTCACCCCAGACTGGAGGGGAGGCAGCTGCTCTGTCCGTGATTCCCGTAACACACACGGTATCAGGCAAGCGGGTCCATTTCATGTGTTTCCAGAGTTCTCCTCTGGTATTTTAATGGGCTCTGGACTTCTCCGCATTCCCAGAGTGGAACTACTGCTCTGTGGCGCCTGGGAACAATTTCGTAAAAGATCCAAATATTGCAGAAGCTCCCAGCATTAAAAAATAGAACCCAATGTTGCAGACTCTTCCAGAAGGAGGAGGAGAAGATGGTGCTGAAGAAGGAGAGCGTGGTAGAGATGGAGGAGGAGCAGGAGGAGGAGGAGGAGGAGGAGGAGGAGGGGGTTCAGATGTTCATTGGGCCAGTGAAACCCAAACGATCATCAGAAGCCTGCCTGGATAAGTCTACCCAGTCCAAAAACTGTTTTCCCTTGGTGGTCCGTGAGGCTTCTCTGGGAAGCCCCCCAAAGAGGACGCAAGCACGCGTGGCTTCGCCCATCCCGCCTCGGGCGCTGGCGGGCGCTCTCCCGACACCAGCTCGCGTCCCGCCTTAGTTCCAGTGGCCACTGGAGGGCCTTTCCGCCCAGCCCAAGAGTTCAGTGGGATGTTCATGACGCTTTTGCAGACGACCGCCAGCATCCTCCGCCCGCCATCGCGTGGCGCTCCCCGCTTCCCATTTAGCACTTCCTGGGGCTGTGAGGACCCCCAGGTGCTTAAGCCCGTGCCAGGAGCTCACCTCCTCGCTTCTCCAGGGACGCGCTCTTAACTCTTGGCCTGCCGTTTCCTGCACGTCTTTCTGCCTTGACTGTCCCCCTGCGGTTTCCCCCTTCGGTGTTGTAGTATGGGTACCAACAGAAGCCCAAGCGAGCAGCGGCTGCCTTCTCACTGGCGTCGAGAGGTCTTAGGTCCATCCATCCTGCAAGCCAGAACAAATTGGAAAGTGCCGAGGAGACCCAAGCCAGGGCTCTCTGCACAGAGCCCCTGCCTGCATGCAAAATGCTCCAGGTTTGTTCCCTGGCTGCTCTCGGTATTTATTCAGAATCATGAGGACTAGAAACTTGGGAAAGGGCTGCAGATCAGTGGTGGTGTGCCTGCTTTGCATGTGGAAAGCCCCGGGTTCCATGCAGGGATTCTTCAGGTAGGATAGAAACAATTCTGTCTGAGTGGTTTTGCCCATCGGTGTTGAAAATTCTGGACTTGAGAAACCACAGTTTTGAGTAGCACAGTTTTGGATGCTGTTAAAAGAGACGGTTCCCAGGACAAAGTTGTAACTGAGAGTGGTACCTTTATTTCTTCATCCTTATTTGTGTCTGCCCCAGAAAGGAATCCCAGAATTTTATTCTAAGGCAGATGACACTCAGATGCCTTAGGAAGAAAAGATTCATGGCTGAAGTCTTTTTCCCACTTTTAATTATAGCAAGAAAAATGCTGAATTGGGATGGTAGGAGAAACACAAAATTTTGTTTTTTAATTTTTTTTAAAAGCTGCTACGGGGTGGTTCAAAGCTGTAAACTACGAAAGCTTCGTTTCACATTTTGCCTGTGCCGCGATTCATTAGATATTCCTAGAGGAGTTTTCCTCAACCTGTCCAGGTGTGTTTTATTGCAACTCCTGTGATTCTGAGCCTGCACAGCCAATTAAGGATATATATTTCTGGTTGCGAAAAGTGCAAATAGATTGCATCTGTAAGCCCGAATATGTGTGCAGGAAGGAGAACTTCCTGGCCCTCATTCCCTGGGAATGACCCACAATTCCTGAATTTGGTTTGCATTTGGAAAATGCAATCCCCTTTTTGCCTTCCTCCAAAATATGCATTTTCCAACTTTTTGGAAAAAAAGCAAAATATGCACACTCCAAAGTATTACTTTCCAACTGTTTTTGCACATGAGTCAATTGGGAAAAGTGCTCATTTTTAAAATATATTTATTGGATTTTTAATGCCACTGTTGAGTCTACAGAATCTCAAATCAGTACACACACACACACACAAATGCGGTATATAGCAGTGTGTGTATGTGGTTTTCCTGTTTAAAATGCAAACTCTTCCTATTGTATGAACAAAAACCAAACCACCAAGTTGAAAACGGAAAAGGGGACAAATCTAAATGAGTTTCGGAGTGAATTTTGGAGAATTTCCATGAGTGCGGAACTCCCTGCTTCTCCCTCTTCTTAGGGCCGATGGAAAGATGGAGGTTTCAGTCCCAAACATCGGGAAGGCACCAGGTTGAGGAAATTTTTTCCAGTTGATTCTTTGGCAGGATTTTGTTTCCCTTTCAGGAATTAATTTTGCACAACTCCTTCCAGGACTGTTGGGCGTCCATGGGTCAGAAAGGCAGGGTCTTGGTAAATAAATACAATGGGGTTTTCCTCAGCAAATCTCCCATTCTTATTTCTCAAAACCCTCTTGGGATTGGCTGCTCCGAATCGGAGATGGGGTTGCCACGCCACTGGCCCTTTCTGGGAATCCCACAGGGCAGAACACGGTCGTGTCTTTGCTTTTTCCAGTCTTGCTTTGGTTCTTCCCTTCCACTTCAGACGGGGCCAGAGCGAGCCCCTCTGGCCCCAAACTAGACCTCGGGGAGTTAATTCCCCTTGCAAGGACCACTGGAGGTAGATTGGACTTGGAAGCGGGGGGGGGGGGGGGAGAGGGAAGGTAGCCAAGCTAAGCTGACTGGAGGTGAACCTCAGGCCTCTGAGAACTGAGCCTCATCCAGGCCTTCACGGCTGCCAAATGTCCTCATGATGGACCACCCTGGGAACGTCTGTGGGATCCACCACGCTCTATTTCTGGCCTCTCTTTTTGCAAGCCAAGCAGAGGCTGAGTTGGTCCAGGAGGGCCCTCCTGGGACACGGCCCCGGTTTGATGCGAAGGTGCCTGGCAAACCTGAGAAGCACGGTGGTCTTCGGAGAGTCAAGAGGGGCGGGACGTTGAAAAGCTTCTTCCTGGAGACCCTCTGTTCCTGGGGAGTTGGTGTTGAAACTATGCCCCACTCTGAAGCCATCTCCTTCGGAGACTGACCCATGCACGGATCACAATGGAGAGGCTGTGATGTCATGCTTCAGCCCCTGGACTGAGCTCCAGCCTTCTCCAGGATTCTCCTCCGAGATGTTCGCCAAGCCCCACCACTGACGGTGGTCCAGGGAAGCCTTGGCCCCTCCCGTTCGGGCCCAGGAAGCAGTGATGGGAAGAACACCTCTCCCGCTGAGAGGCTGGGGAGACGCGCTTAATCAGTGCAGAAAATAAGGGCGAGGGAATGGCAAGAATCTCATCTCGTGATTCTCGCTGCTCCTGCAAAGGATGACGCAACTTCACGATTTGGAATTCGTCGGTTCGTGGCCCGAAACTCAGTTGCTTGTGATACTCAGCCTGGAACGATGCGTTACAAACAGGGATATGTGGACATGGAGGAATCTGGTTTATTGGAGCGTGGTGGAATTCCGGCCAGTTTCGGATCGGGTGACTGGAAGCAAGCCCAAGCCAGAGGGGACTGTGATTATATTTTATTGATTTATTTATTAGAAGGTGTTCTACCCTGTCCTTTACCAAGGTCTCAGGGTGGGGTGATATGTGCCGATTTGAACAAATTGGGCATTGGTGTTTTTCTCCCTTCCTGAAACTTACCCTCAGCTCCCTCTTCTGCACTTTTGATAAATTCTGTCCCCCAGAAAAGAAAAAGCAAAAACAGAACAGGTGGAAGGAAGGAAAAAGAAGTCTTAGCAGACCTTGGGAGTTAAGAAAGATTTTAAAACTCAGGACTCTTCTCCTTTCCAATGATTTATGCTCGAGGCACCGCTTGAAATCTTTCCAGGTCTGGGGAAGAACTCTACGAGCATAAATCTACGCCAGGCCGTGATTTGGGAGACCAAAAGAAGCGGACTGATGACTTGAGATGGAAAGCGGGTGACAGTGAAGCATATCTGTCGGAGAAGGAGTGCTGAAAGCCCCTGGCACCAGCAGGGAAAGAAACGGGCAAAAGCACGGGGACTTTGTTGCGCCAGTGTGTGTGGACTGTGCCAGCTTCCTTTGTGGTACAGCCCTCCCCTGGGTGTGTTACCAGGCAAATGTTGCTAGTGCATGTAGTTATATTTGCAGCAGCTGCGCAAGCACATGCAGCTCCCGGCGTTTGACAAAACCTCCAACTCCGCACTGCGGAAAACCAAGATCACCTTGAGTTAGACCCAATGCGCTTTGGAGCGACCGCTGATAACGGCGCTGTTCCTGGGGGTGCAGTGACCCAACAGAGAGGCCACACGGAAGAGGACTGTGAAATTACTCGTGGTGCAAAGAGAATGTGGAGAGAGAAAGAGAGAGAGATTTTTCTCTGTTTTCTGTAATTCCAGCATTTCAGGTTGCAATCACTGGGCCATAGGTTCATAACAGATAAGAGGAACCTTTCTCCACACAGCAGATACATTCAGGCCGCTGCTCTAAGAGGGTGCCCAGAAATCTCTGAACCCTGAAGGGATCCTAAACAGGGCAAAGGGAGAGGCGAAGGTCACTTCCGCTGCCCTCTCACATTCTGGAGAGCTCGGGGGTCTGACAGCAACATGTCAGATTCTGGGTCGGCCTTTCGCTTGTTTTAAAATTAGATTTAATCCAGCACTAGATTTTCACAGGAGGCAAAGAAAGATGGGCTGGCAAGTCCACAGAATCCGTGTGACTCGGAAAAGCTGGTCATCAGTGGGATGCAATGCGACTCTGAGGAGTCTGAAGCCCTTTGAATCCCTTCTGGATTTCTCGACTGTCCCCATTGAAGGGTTTTGGGATGTTCTCACATCACCACTCCAAAAATGGCCCGCTTTGTGCCATAACTTTTTCCTCTCCAGGGCTGGAGACCCTGAGACCCTTTCTCCTTCAGCTCAGAGACAGCTCCATCCTTGCCTGATGTGGACAGATTCCTAATTCTAGACCCAAGGAGAAGGTCAAAGAGAAAACCAGTTTCTCCCCTTCCAAGATTAAAAAAACGACTGTGTGACTTGACATACTCCATTCGACCGTGAGCCTCTGAGTCTCTGGAGCGTTGTGGATGCTTTCCCATCCTTCTCACTGATTAACGATGGCCGCATCCTGCCCAAATCCCTTGCAGCGTCTGCAGAGGGGGGCTACTCTGGATTTTTACAGCCTGCAGTGGTTCTGGAATTATCCTGCTTTTAAAAAACAAGATCTTCCATTGCACGGGCAAAAGCAAAGGACCAAGTCTGATGCTGCACCAAGAGTGCTCAGCTTCAGTCCACGGGACGAATACGGCCCATAAAAAATCCTGAGCTTCGTTTTATCCTCACAACAACCGCCCTGCGAGGTAGGTTGGCTGAGTTTCAAGACTGAGTGAGGACTGGAACCCAGGCCGACTATTCCACGGTGCCGTGCTGGCTTTCCCTTTTAAAAGGTGGAAATGTCTCTTTTTAGTTTTGATTATCAGCAGGGAGAATTGGAAGCAAGAAGAGGCAGACAAGTGCTTCCCCTTTTCCCTTCTTTTGCCCACTTACCTCTAGAATTGTTGGCATAAACCTCATGAATCAAGAAACGAAAAATAAGCCTTTGTATGGTACGAGGAGCACTTTTCTTTTTTGAGGACTCGAAGAAATGACATTCTTCATTCTTTTCCTAAATTTCTCAAAGCATGACACTTCACGCACGTCCAAGTGGGAAAATCTTGCAGGATGCACTGCTAAGAAACATGTTTAACCCTGGGCATCATGAGGACTAGAAGCATTCTCCCTCTGAGAACAGAAAACATGACTGTGGCAGACTTTGAAAGAAGAATCATGTTTATGGGCCAGTGCTCTGACTCATGAGGGCCAACATCCTGCTTTTCATGTGGAAGGTACCCGATGCCCAAAAGGGACCTCCACCAGAGACTCGGAGTAACCTTTCGGCACAAAAACAGTCCAGTGGCCAGGATTCATTCACTCCAAGGCAGTTCTTCATGCTCGTTTTCACTAAACTCAGCATCAGCTTATTTCCAGGTGTTGTTTTCTTAATGCGGCTGTGCTCTCCTCCTTACTGAGCCCACCCCCAAATCGGCGCTCACAATCAACCAAGATCCATTTTATTATCATTGAGGCTGTAATAGGGCAATTAACAACCGGTATTACCTCTGCCAGGAAAAATAAAATCGCTGCTTCCTTGTCATATTCTTTTTGTATTTTTATAGCAGACCAATATTGGTGGCTCCCGCGCCTCTTTCCCCCCAGCTAGATTGGCCTATTAATGAAGCGATTGTCTCCGCCTGCAGTCAAATCGCCCGCTAATGAGACGGAGGTTTTATATTTCTTTATGTATTTCCAATTTGTTCTTTTATATGTCTCACTTGGACAATTTTAGTTTTATGAAGTATTTGGCAGGAGAGGAAAGAGGGGCTTTGGTTTCGGCACTACAGAGCCAAGTATGGCGTCTCTCTTGAAAGGGCCTGGCTTGGAGGGGCCGATTGAGACCCGGGCTGGCATCACATCCCGGCAGTGGGTGCTGAGCCCCTGAACCTGCGCGCGACGGTACATCGGAGGGGTGGGATGGAGGAGGAAAGGAATCTGGGGGAGAGGGACACAAATCTCCTGTCCCTCGTAACGGGAAGCTTCTGTTCAGCCACGGACCGGCTTCTGCCTTCTTTCCTCCCACCTGAATCGACCCAGAACACAGGAACCCTGCAGTGTAGGCCCAGCGTCTGGTTAAAAGTCTTGGGGGCAGCAACCCCCAGGTTCCCAGGGGCATCTCTCAGGCCGCAGTGTCAAAACGGGGGGGGGGTGTATTTGACGGACGGCAGGCATAGCAAGACTGCTGATGTTGGCTGGGACAAAACCGCTTAAGGAAACTGGCCCGGAGATTCTCCTGTGGCAGCATCCGGGCCGCTCTGCCTGAAGCTCCGAACCAGGAGCAAGCCTGAGTTTCCAGAAGCTCTGCCCTGGGCCCCGGGAAGGAGCGAAAGAAGAGCAAGCGGGTCCCTTGCCAAGGACAGCTCCCTGCTTGCGGCAGCCCCTGCCCCGTCCCCCCGGTCCCTTGCCTTGCTGCCTTACCCAGCAGCGAGGGCTTCTCGCTGTGGCTGAGCTCCCTGCCCAGCTATCCGGCCTCGGGGGAGCTGCTCCGGTTGGTCTCCCTGCCTCCTGCCCTGCGGCTACGACGTGGGCCCTGCCTTTCGGACTTGGGGCTCTCCCTCGCCTCCCGCTCTGTTGCCTGGCAGCCCGTTCCTCGTGACGGAGCACCGTGCTGTTTACCTCTGTACATGGCAGGGCCGCCCCTCTTCCACTTGCCAAGGCTGCCCTTTGGGTTTATCTTGGAGCTGCAAAGTGACTTCTGGGGAAGGTTGTTGGCAGGGTGCTGGGTGAGCTTGGCCAGCCGCACTTCGGCCTCAGCGTCCTGGCCAAGGACGGCCTCTTGCGGCTCCGGGAGACCCTCCTGGCCTCCTTCCACCTGCACCTGGTGCCCCTCCAGAGGGCTCTCACTGCATCCGAGGACAGAGGTCTCCAGTGACGGGCTTTCTGGAGACCCGCTTGGGCCGGCCTCCTCTGCCTTTGCTTTCGCGACCCCTGAACCGACCCTGGAGAAGCCCTGGAGATCCAAGACCTCCACCTGCTTGCCATGGCTTAGTTCGCAGTGGCTGATGGACTCCAGAACGGGCTCCATTTGGAGTGCCGTCTCTTCCTTGGCCAGGTGCGCCAGTTGCGAGCTCTTGCCGAGACCCGCGCCTTCGTTGGCGGACCCGCCTTGCTCATTCGAGGGGCCGACGAGAGACTTCTTCCCAGGATGTTCCCTCGCCGATGCCCATTTTTGGTCAGGACAATGGCTACACAAACAATCAAAGAGGAATCACAAGTTACTGCACGGATCGTCCAAGGCAAACATGATTCCTAGGAGAGACCTCTAGAACTGAGTGCCTTGCAGAGGGGAAACCCTTACAACCTTCTTTCGCAAGGTAGGTTTTCCGCTGGCCCACCCGCAGCTGGGCCTCTGTGTAATTTGCTCCTCCTTATCCCAGCTGTATCAATAGACCTTTGATACTTCTGAACTGGTTTGAATTGGGTTCGGCTTTTTGTCTCAGTGCATCCACCAAAGATTTCACCCCTAGGATTCTGTGTGAGGTTGGGCAAGGCTGGTTAAGCCTGTTTTTAACCTGGCAATGGGTTTCATCACGTGTCGTGCAATTAAGGACTTTGTTTTTTCTGACCTGAATTTCCTGCCAGTCTATTCCGCTGGATGACCCCACCAGGAGTATGAAAACAGCCCCTCTCTTTTAGTTTCTCAAAACGATGCATGATCCCATATGCTGTCACAGAGGCAGGAGGCTTCTACTGACCCTGCAGCCAAATCCCAGTGGTGGGTGGAGGCAGCGACAGAGGGCACCCTTTCCAATTTGGACCTTGTCCCAGTGGCTGTGCAAAGCACAGCTCGTCTCCAAGGAAATCTACCCGGGAGTAGAGATGTACAGTTGCTGAACAATCCATTCCATGTACATTTTGTAGATGGTCGGGCACTTTTCATTCTCAGGATTGAAACTTGCACAAGTACAAGAATAAGCATTTGCGCAAATTTGCATGTGTGAAAATTCGCACTGCTGGAAATACGCAAGTCTTCCTCTGCCCCCGCCCCCCCAAAAGAAACCCACTGTAAAATGTATCACAGTGCCCTGTAAATTGTATTTTTTTCAGTGTCAATCTATGGGGGAAATAGTCATTGTTTCACTTTCCCGATTTTTCTGCTACTAAATTTGTGTACAAATATGATTTTCTGCAAAGCATCTGCAGGTCCATGGATTCAGTGGGCAAAGCTGGCCCAGGGCAGAATCTGCATTTTGGCTTCTAAGAAATTCAAGCTCATTTGCCTCCGTTGTGGCCACTGTGTCCACCTTCCATGAAGCTTGCTGGGGAGATTGGGGCCTACTTCAGAGGGCTGTTGTGAGGATAAAACAGAGGTGCAAGGATAGATAAAGTGAGGATAAAAGTTGGGATGGTAAATATTATTGGCACACACCGCCATGAGCTCCCTTGGAGTAAATTTCTATTTTACCCGGACTCTCATTTTCCCACCCTTCTGTTGGGCTTATCCAAACTTGGAGCACGTTCTTTTTAAAAGCAAAATATGCTTGACAGCTTGCATTCCTTTTAAGCAGTGTCTCTCTTAATACGCACATTTTAAGCCCGTTTTGCTAACATTTTTGCAGGAAGGGCAACTGATTTTCCTAATGCAATGCATGTTTTAATGTTCATTTCACTAAGGGTTGAATCTTGAGCTCATTTAGTCAGAAACAAATCCTACCCAAGAATCCAGAGAGCCATTTTGACTCTGGGGTGGGATAAACAAACAAATTGCAACCTCTGATCCCCCAGCCTGCGTGTACTGTGACTTGAGAGGACTCGCTTCTGTCCAAACAAACCCGGGGTTGTGCCTGCAGAAACACATTTGTGTGTGCAGATTGTATAGCACAGTTCACTTCTGTGGGGATGCTCTGACTGCACAGCACCGTTGCAAAATGAGCAGAAGCACCGCTTCCAAGGATGGCGGCGCTTCGCCGACCGGTTCCAACACACGAAAGCGGCAAAGCGCAAGTTCAAACAGCAACCGAAGCGTTTCTGAGGGGTCCTGGTTTTGGACGCCGCCGCGGCCCGGAGAAAAAGCAAAGCAACAGAGGGTCTAACCTTATCCCGGCTCGCCCTAAATGTTTTAAAAACGCTCTAGTGGCTTGCGCTTCCAGACGGGCCATGAGGAAGGTCTAGCGCGATGCAGCCGAGAGGGAGCCGAGCACCCCGTTTCCGGAGCGGGCCCGGGTGGCTTCCCGGGGGTCTGTGAGCGTCGTCGCCACGCAGGGCAACACGTGTGCGCGGAGCAGTGCGGCCTTGCGCTCGGGTATCCAGGAGCTGAGACAGCTTTCCCCGTCAACCTGGGAGGAAGTCCTCAGCACTATCAACAAGGGCCAGTTGCCTAGCAACTCGCTGCTTAGGAACCGTTGCTAGCGTCGGGAAGGATTTCCTGCTTCGATGGGCAGGTTTGACTTCTGCGGGGACGTGCACATGGGATGATGCTGATGATGAATAATGGCAATAATGGTATTCTTGCATTGCATTTATATCCCGCTTTCTTCTTCCTCTAAGCAATCCAAGGCGGTGGCGGCGGCCTCTCTATGTTCTCCTCACAACAACCCTGCGAGGTAGTGACTGGCCCAAAGGAGCCCAGGGACCGTCAAGGCTGATCGGGGACTGGAGCCCGGATCTTCGAAGGGCCAGTCCAGTGCTCACCCTACGGCTCATACAATAAGGTAGGTGAGGCCGAGAGAGCAGGACTTGCCCAAAGTCATGCAGTGGGCTTTGCGAGAACTCAAACCCAGATCTCTCAAGTCCCAGTCCCCTGCTTGAAATCCACACTGGTTTTCAAATAGTAGTATTTATAAGTATATTTATTCATGCTATTTAAATTCTGCCTTTGCCATGCAAGGGACCTGAAGTGACCTACATATCCTCATGGGCCACTTCCTTTTATCTTCACAACAACCCTGCGAGGTAGGTGAGTGTTGGAGTCAGTGCCTGCCCCAGAGTCACCCACTGAGCTTGAAAGCTGAGCAGGGACTAGGACCCACGTCTCCTGAGCCTCCCAAAACTTTCCCTACCCACTTTTGGCTGCTTAAGTTGCAAGAAATGCAAAGATGGACTTGGATCCAAATTTAGACATTTGTAACAGAGCCGGTAGAATTGGAATTCCAGGCCACTCCAAACCTGAAAATGCTACGAAGTGGTAGGAAAGACCCTACTAAATAGGTTAGACAGTTCTTTTGGCTACCAGATACCTGCTTTTCCCTTCTCTAGTTTTAAATCCTCCCGAGTGTTTGAAAATCTAATTGCAAATTTTCTCTGAGTTTTAATGTCTTAATCTACCTAGTCTCCATGGTGTCTTCATGATACATTTTCGCCCCTGTGGAAGCAATTTTGTGGTTCTCCTTGCTTGGATCTAATGGTGGCAGAAACTCTGCTTTAATCAGGATCAGTTAGTTGCAGCTGCCCTTTTACAGCTTGTTTTTCTCCTACATTTTTATTAGCTTTTTTTCCTATGTGTGGAAGCGTGGACGTGTTTTGGTTATTCACTGTGGTTCATCCTTTGGAATGTTTGTGGTCAGGCGGCACATCAAGGGACACACACACACACACACACACACACACACACACACACACACCCAGTGGGTCAGTCTGGGGCCAAGCCCTTGGCCCCCTCCTTGTGCAGGTTCACAAGAGCGTCCAGACATAAATTCGCATGTATTAGCAACAGGTGTTGATTCTCTGATGCTTGCATGGTTTGTGTTCTCCCGGCTGTTTCCACCCATCCATCCGCGTTTAGATGGAGATGGAGACTCCAGTTGCCACTGGGGTCGGCCCGCCGGCCTTGCCTCCCCCACCTTTCAGGATGCCCCGTTGCCCCACCAAGGCCCAGTTCCACCATGGGTGATGCAGACCAGGTGTTGTGTCCCATGGGCTGCGCGGGGGCAGCTCAGCCTTTGGGGCTCCAGGTTTGTTAAAAGCACTCTTTCCTTTCCCTCGGAGGGGAAAATATTCCAGGCAACAGAACAGCTCTTTATTTCCTTACACGAAGCTGGATGTACTGGTCCTCCCTGCTCTGCGTTGTCCGCCCAGGGCTGCCGGTGGCACTTCTCCCCTGCCCTATTTTTCTGCATGTGTGAAACAGGAGGACAAATGTTCCCCTTCTTGTCTGGCTCCCCAGAACGGTTCCATGGAGCCCATGGGATTGCAAAGGATCCCCTGAAAGCAGCACCACGCAGGTCCCCGAGGAGCCCGCTAGATGGTGCAAGCAGGCCGTCCCTCACTTGCACACCCACCCCGGCCTCGTCCTGGGTTCCTCTCTCCTCGAAGGAGCTCGCTGCGCTCCCCCCATTCCTCTGCGTGACGCCCCACATGCTCACGGGGGCTTTGCAGCCGTTGCCCTTCTGCACAGAACCGTGGCCTGGGCCTGGGCGTGGGTGGAAGCCCACGCCTTGGATGGTCCCGGAGCTCGACGTTTAGGAAAGCAGCTGGCCCCCTGGGTGCTCACAGAGCCAAAGCCCCGGCTCCCGGGCTGCAGCCCCTTTCGCACGTCGGCCCCTGCGTGATCCCCTCCTGGTTGCGAGGGGGGAAGGACGAAGTCGGCCCCTGCCCAGCCCAGCCACTCCCGGCCGGGAGACGGCACAAAGAGCACGGTTTCCTGAGGTCTCCACCTGGCGCCTGGGAGGTGCACTTTAGCCCGATGGAGCAGGCAGGTCTGCGGCTTCCGAAGCAGGAGGGGTTGGCCTTCCCTGCTGCCAGCGTGGGCAACGCCCTGCAGCCCAAGGGCCAAACTCGGGGTCAGAGAAGGACAAAAGACCCCGGCCTCTTTCAGCATCAGGCTCATTCCACCAGAGCCGAAGCGTTTTGGCCTTTGGGAGGTGGAGGTCCAGTGTGGGCCGTTGCCAATGCCCGTGCCACCAAGCCACCGTGAACGACAGAGGAGCGCGGGTGGGTGGAAAGTTGGCCACCCTCTGGGTTTAAGGAGGAGGCCCTTCTGGGAGGTTACAGGGTTCTTTGGGACCCCTCCCAGACTGTAGATGTTGCTAGGAGTTGGTGGGGGCAACTGTGGGTATTTTCTCCTACTGCCCCCCAGCCCGGCCCTACAGCTGCCAGAGAACCACGCCGGTTCCTTGCGGAGTTGCAAAGAGGGCCTTGGAGTTAAGGAGAGGGATTTGGGGAGGGCAGGACGAGGGGTGGGAGAGTGGAGAGGGGAGTTTTATGGCTTTTCCAGCCCCTGTTAGAATGAACCCTCTAGGTGGACTCAAAGGGGAATCTTCTAGATGCATCCCAAGGATTTTTAATTGCCAGAGTTGCTCTTTCAGCCTGACACCCCTCCCAGCTTTTATTTATTTCGAGCTCTACAGAAAGCAGAAGCAAATATATAGGTTAAAGATAGCGGATTTATTTCCTCAAGCTGGAAGGATGAAGAGCTGGGCAAAGTGGCACGTTCGGTCATGATGGGGGAACGGGAATTAGCCGTGCAGAACGGCCCGTGTCGGTCTTGTCCTCTCTCTTTCTTCCCTGGGACCAGGCATCCTGCTGCAGGGCCCCCCCCCCCCCCCCCCCAGGGCCTCGTAAACAGCTCGCTTAATAAACTCGTTACATTAAGTTAACAATGCCTGCATGAGGCATGCAATCAATAGTCAAGGTTCAGCAGCAAACAACACCCATGTTTGCTTAGATTTCTGTCGATATCTCAGATAGGTAATTGAGGCTTGGGGGATTTATATATACGATTTAAATCTCAGGTGATTAATCACTGAAACATTGAATAAATCAATTGCCCGGGAGATACCCTGATTCCTTCCTCCCTTCCCTGTTTCCCAACCTGAGATGCTCTTTGGATTCCAATAAATCGGGTCCTTCTTCTCTCCTCCTCTGTTCCCTTTTCTGCCCCTCTTCTCTGCCCTCTCCTATTCCAGTCCGTGTGATTCTTTTCTGTTCCTTTCCTCGTCCACCCCACCTCTGCTCCCTTCTGTTATTTTCTCCTCCTAAATCAGTGCTTGCTTCAGCCTGCAATCATCTTTATTTTCAGCAGAGTACGTCTGTATTATTTTCTCTTTCTTCCATGGCCTAAGATTTCTTACTTCACCGTACAAAGAAAGCTGCATGGCAGGGAGCGGAGCAGTAAAAACGATGTCTTTGCCCTAGTCTTGGGTTTCCAGGGAAATTGATACGATAGTATTAGGCCGCTTCTGAGCAAGGCGCACGTACCCCGGATGGGAGGGATGGGAAAACAGCTCCTCGGCAGTTCCCATGGCTCCCCAAACTGAAGGCGTGTGCTCTGTCCAGCTACTGGGGAAGATTGCAGCTAAATTGGAATCCAGAGTACGGAGGCAAAGCAAGAGGAGGGCGAAACAAAGCTGAAAACGCACCCATCTTCTTGTCTCACTTCCTCCGGCAGCCGCAAGGTGGAATCTCCGTCGCTCCGCCTAGAAGGGAGTCACTCCCAACAGCTGCATCTCTGCAGCTCGTATTCCTCCAGGACAGCTTCATAGCAACCGATGCTCGTCACCTGATGCCTATAATCAGGACGCTTTGGGGGTGTTGGGAGGGATTAAGCAGCAAGGAAAGACCCAGGGGGCTGCTTCCCGAGGCCAAGCTTCCCTTTCCCTGGCCTAACGGGAAAAATGACCCAGGGTTTGGAAACGGTGCCCTGTGAGGAGAGACGGAGAGAACTGGGCGTGTTCAGCCTGGAGAAGAGAAGACTGAGGGGGGACATGATGTCCCTCTATAAGTCCCTCAAAGGATGTTCCAAAGAGGAAGGTCAAGATCTCTTCCTGCTGATGCCAGAGTGCAGGACACGGAATAATTCAAGCTGCAACTATCCAGATATCAGGAAGAGCTTCCTCACTGCCAGAGCAATGCGACAGGGGGACCGGCTGCCTGGAGGGGTGGGGGGCCCTCCCACACTGGAGGCATTCAAGGAGAAACTGGGCAGCCCTCTGAGTGGGGTGGTGCGACTTGGTGTCCTGCAACAGCAGGGGGTGGACTGGATGGCCTTCACGGCCCCTTCCAACTCGACTCTTCCATGATTTTATGAGTCCAAGTTTGGTGTCCCACATTTCTGTCCCTGGCCGCCTTTTTGGTGCCTCCGCCTTCTGCTGAACCAGAAGGTCTTTCTAAGTGCCGTGCTGAACATCCCTCTCACATTTTTCAATTTGGCAGGGAAGAAAGC